AACACAAGGCACTAAATTACTATTTTGCTCTTTACGATTTAATCACTAAATTACTATTTTGTTCTTAACGATTTAGTCATTTTGTTCTTAAATTAGTCACGAAATCACTTTTTTGCTTAACGATTTAGTCACGAAATTACTATTTTGTTCTTAACGATTTAGTCACTAAATTACTATTTTGCTATTAACGATTGATTCACGAAAATACTATTTTGCTATTAACGATCGAGTCACTAAATTCCTATTTTGCTATTAACGATTGAGTCACTAAAATACTATTTTGCTGACAGTTGTTTTCAAACTGATGTCAAATCGTTCGGATTTACAAATCTCGGAAATTTCTGTTTGTAGACTGGGACTCGGACATAAAGCTGCAGTATAATACCACGTGGTCCTGTGGTGTATTTGTTCCTTTCTGGGGATGAAGACAGCAACATCATCATGAATCACATCACATCATGGTTTAAACATATTTTTATTCATGAAAGTAAATTGGGATTGGTGAACAAGCATTACTGCTTATGTTAACACCGCTCCCATACAACATAGAATACAACATGAAATGGACGATTACAAATCCTCCACATCACATCATATACAACATCATAATGAATCACATCACGTCACATCATATACAACATCATAATGAATCACATCACGTCACATCATATACAAGAAGTGAATATTATATGTACACTCAAGTGTAAAACGTTCAAAATTATTTATAATGTAAAATAGAGACAAAACACTTAGAATCAAATTTGAACTAGTTATCCACAATCAGTCAATCACATCGCGTGTCACCATCGAGTTGCACGAGGGATTCTGACCGGTGTTTTTTATCAATAGTTTTACCCCATCTATATTTGTTGGTGCGTGTAATACCTTTATGACACACCAAATGTTTTCCAAAATCAGGATTTGATAAAGGTTTACTTTATTTTTATGAATGTCCATTTTGGCACCGTGCCATGGCAACTAGGAATGCCATCGAAAGGGAAAAGTGTTTATGTTTCAGTGATCAAAGGGAGATAACTCTCACTAACGTTGTAGCAAACACCATAAGCACAAACGTTATGTGTCTGCATCAAATAGATTTACTTTCTTTACATCCGAAACAAAGCATTAACACGCTGTTACAACATCCCGAAAAATATAAACTGAAATTTTATAAACTATTCGTTATCATTTAATACCCAGCAGAGACAGGATAACTGTACGCGCTTAATATTCGAAGCGCTCATATAATATAAAAGCCATCCCCATGTCAATTAAACGTTAAATCATTTCTGATTATTTTATCAAAAGGAAATGTGAAAGTTAACAGAATAATCTGCAAATATTTGCAGTCAGTTTGTTTTGAATGGATACGGAACTATGATTCCATGGAAGAAATACAAGCTGCGAATCGAATGAAGAATAAACCAGGTCGCACATAAACATATAGAATAAACATATAGAATGGTGATATATACAACATTATTCTCGAGCCCGTGTCCTGTCATTAGTATCATTGTGACGTGATAAAATATGATCAGACTCATCATTTTGGGTTTACACCATACTCTTCTAAATCTGCTGAAAAGAACGTAACGCGGAATGAGCCAACCAGCCACAGGCGTCTTTCTAGTTTGGTTTATTAGTAAACAGCACGACATCTTGATGTTTTTGACAACTTTACTCACAAATACAGAGTTTATGGAGAAATACAGGGGTTATGCTCGTGTGATACCTCCATCTCCAGTATAAGTTAAACCAAGTTCTTAAATTTAAAAAACATTAATGTTAAAATTAGGTGAGGTGAGGTGAAATTGGGTTTAACGTTGTTCTTGAGAATATTTCGCTCATATGACGAAGTGCATGCGTGTGCATGTGCGTCTGCTTGTACTGGCCCAGACTTAAGCTGGTTTCATAGTGCTAGCTTACTGAGATACCATGCCGCAGTGAAGCATGAATACCCCACTCAGACACATTATACTGACTCCTAGCCGACCAGTCCTTGTTGTACCCACTAATGCCGACCGCCAGGCAGGGACCAACAAGTACCATATTTTAACATCTTGTAATATTTAGGATTGCACTTGTAAAGTACAGATTCTAGCACTGTTGTTGGATTGAGTCCCATCCGGGAGTCCCAATAAATTCAATACGATTTTACAGATATACTTTATATATTTCTTATAATAGATTCGAAGTGGAAGAAGAAAAAATACACCTTAAATCACTTGGAAATGAATTTCTCACTCTCCAAAGACTGTATAGAATCATATTGTTTGTTATCAAACATTGCAATATTAAAATTTAGTTTAAAGTGAATTTTAAAGTTCATATAAGAAAAGCATCTTTCAAGTTCCATTCTGATGCTCTATCTAGTGCAATTTGATATAGTTGAAATGTTTTTATAATATGACACTGAAAACTTGGAAACTTGCCGTCATACATTTTAGCCAACTTGAACTTTCCCAAAGCATTGTTGGGTGGCCTCGACTCTCTACTCATCCCAGCAAACACAATTAAATGAAAGGCGTTATTCTTGGCTGTTAATGAAGGAGCACCTGCTAAGCATGTCATTTGGCTCACCTGGGTCTCGTGGCACGTGGAGATCACAGTGAAATCGACACGTGTCAATTTCAGTCCAAGTTGGAATAATTCTCAGCTGGGCATCTAAATACTTGAATAACAGTCGTAATAATACAAGTTGCATCCGACTCGATTTAGCGAGGCAACGTAATGAGGGATATTTGGTTCTATAATGGGTTAATAGATTTTATCTGATAACGTATTACGGAGACGAAATGCAATTTCTTTCATTTCAGTATGCGTAATGACAGGTGTGCATTTCACGTGATGAGTTAATTTCACATGTTAAATGTATCTGAGAGGTTGGATGTTGAAGGGAAATGGGGTTTCCCTGTCGTTAATGTTACATTATGAATGTTTGATGATAAACAAATAAATAAATTTATAAATAAATAAATGAATGCATGAATGAATGAATGAATGAATAATAAATTAATAAACAAATAAAATAAAATAAAATAAAATAAAATAAAATAAAATAAAATAAAATAAAATAAAATAAATAAATAAATAAATAAATGATGTAAAATGGTATGTAATGACAAACAAGGCCCCGAATTCGATGGTCATGTGGTGAGTGAGTGAGTGAGTGAGCCGGATTCAATCATAGTTTAAACATGTTGACTGTTGACCAAAGTTGACCCAGACTTTAGGGGAAGGGACCCTAGTGGTTAAAGCCTTCGCTCGTCACGCCGAAAACCCGGGTTCGATTCCCCACATGGATACAAATTGTGAAACCCATTTCTGGTGTTCGGTGGTCAGGCACATAAACGTATGGTCACGTGACCCCGCTCACGTGCAGGGTCGTGTTTTCACCAAACAGCGTGCTTCATTCACCCCGCGTGGTTCGCCACAGTTGAAATGGGCGGCTGCCTCAGGTTGGACCTGGCCATTGTAGCATTTGCCCATATTATCCACCGCCCATTTTCAACATAATTCATTTTTCCAAATGTGAAGTTTCTTGTTTTTTGGTTCAGTATTCTTCTAAGGTTGCCATTTCTCGGATACTGCCGACTTGGTTATGTCTGGTTAAGACTGGTTTGCTATAGTCTACGCGTATGAACGTCAGTTTCGAGGTTATGTGACCGACCTCTGTGCAACAGAAAAGCTGTATATGGTATCAACTCCACTTAAAAGAAATGCTGTCAAGTGAACTTACTGATTTTTAGGTGCACAATGGTCAGTGGCAACTTTGGGTATGGTCCAACCAAGGCCAAGGGACGCACTTCTGAAAGGCCAATCATGGTGGCTATTAGCTAAGATACATAGCGTTCACTGACATGAACAGTGAACGCTATGTATCTTAGCTAGGTGGCTATGTTGTACCGATCTTCGGCATAAAAAGGTAGATAGAGGGCCGCGGTGGGCCGCCAGTGCATAAAATAGTTTTGAAATGTGGCCTGTCCAAACACTGTCTGTCTGAAAAAGTGACCAGTCCTGAACAAAAACAGACCGTCCCAAAAACTAAAACAATAAAAAGACGAAGTACAAACCAAGTTAAGTTTAGGTTTTCAAATAGTTGCCCCGACCAAAGGACGGCTTTACTTATTAAATAGACCGTCCTTCACAAAAATAGACCGTAAAGGATGGTGGGACGGGCCCTACATTTTATACACTATTAGAGGGTATCATGGAATTTGGGATTGTTATTGTCCTGCATTAGGAATATTCATTGTATTATGGGGCGGTCATTCAAGTGACCAATCAGCATTGAGGATCGCTAAAATATGCAGAGTCAACATTGTACACATTTTCCTTTTATTTAGTCGAAATAAAAATATCTGTATTCATTATATGAAGCGTTTTCACATTTTCCTTTTATTTAGTGGAAAAAATATCTGCATTAACTATATAAAGCATATTAACCTAAGCGGGCGGTGGGATAGCCTAGTACTTAAAGCGAAAGCTCGTCACGCCGAAGACCCGGGTTCGATTCCCAACATGGGTACAATGTGTGAAGCCCATTTCTGGTGTCCCCTGCTGGAATATTGATAAAAGCGGCGTAAAACTATGCTCACTCACTCTAATCACTTAAGTAACGTGTTTAGGGACCGTTCATAATTTATGGCTGGGGGATGTGATGATGATTTTTATGGAGAAGCATGTACAATGTGAATGACTCCCCCTTAAAATTTATGTATAAAATAAGTGACACCCCCTCCCCCCTGCATGCCATGTACAAAATCAATGACCCCCTTACACTTCCCATAATTTCTGAGTATAATTTTAAACATTTCTATGTACAAAATTCCTGACCACCCCCACCCACCCACCCACCCCCACCGTAAGTGTGTACAAAATTGATTACACCCCACCACCACCCTTTAAGCTCCCCCAGAAATTATGAACGGTTACTTAGTTACATTCATTTAAGCTCGCCAAGGGAATTCCCAATTACGTCATATCCGCTTCCGGGTATTTCCCGAAAGCAAGATGGCTGCGTGTTTCTGTTGTTTTCGTTGTTGTTGGCCAGGATCGGGCTTTGGGCAGGGACACATCAAATTACAGGAGCTTCCGATAGTGAAATTGGACACAACACATATGGGTTCGTTTCTGAGTTTTTCATTCTGTACTTGTGGGTTCAGGTAAACTAATCAAATGTAAACGGAATGTGGCGAAACCGGTTAACTTTACTGTTTTTAGGGTTTGGTTGGTTTACATTTTGACAAGAGTTAAAGCATGCTAAATATGTGAGGTGCATTTCGATAACACTGGCCGTGTATTTATATAGAACGGAACTTTCATCGTCAGATATAAGTGATCCACGGTAGTACAGGCCTGTGTTGCGATATCTCGGGTGAAGATAAATTTGGTTTGGTTTGTTGTTTTACGCCGCACTCAGCAATATTAAAGCTGTCTGACCGCGGTCAGTAAATAATCGAGTCTGAACCAGGCAATCCAGAGATCAACAGCATGAGCATTAATCTACACAATTGGGATACGATTACATGAATGGAATAAATGGTTCTCCTAGAAAAAATGTAGCGATTGCAGCCTTATAAAGATGATGACAGTTTTTTGTGTAAGGGTATTTGAGTTTTGATTGTCTTAGTGTCATGAACACTTGTGAAACGTGTGTAACTTATTTCTTGCCATGATATTGGACAATTGCATGAAACCAAACTCATACTCTGACATTGTCTTTGTCTCACAGTCTCTGAACCTCATTATTTTCCTTTAAAACCTATTTTCAATGCTAAGGCCCTTAAATGAAGCAACTCTAGATCTCACTTCTGTTCAGAGACTAAGTGTTTGTCTAACATTGTCTATATGTACATTGAGATATCAGTATTTGATTAACAGGTATTCATTATAACACCATCATTGCATCATTGCATGCCTATGGCTAATATTGATTGAGTTTATTTTTACGCCGTATTCAGCAATATTCCAGCTATATGGCAGTGGTCTGTAAATAATCCAGTCCGGACCAGACTATCCAGTGATCTATAGCATGAGCATTGATCTACGCAACTGGAATATGATGACGTGTCCAGCTAGTCAGTGAGTCTGACCACCTGATCCTGTTAGTCACCTTTTATGACAAGCATGGTTACTGAAGATCAATTCTAACCTGGATCTTCACAGGTTTGATCTATAACATTCTGTCAGTGTTCAAATAGTTCATGCCTAGAAAACATTGTCCTCATTTTCTTGTTATTGAGTGGAAAAAAAATATCTGCCTTAATTATAATAAGTGTACAAGTGAATTACGTGCTTTGATACAAGGGAATTCCATTTGACGTCATATCCGCTTCCAGGACTTGGAGATGCAAAGAGTGCAATTTTATGGCTTAACGTACCTAATGAAATCAAACCATTTATATCTCCCACTGAAATTATTCCAATTACACTGTCAGGGATTTCCTGCATCCTATGCGCATAAAAATTGACAGTGGACGCAATGAAATTTATTAGCGTGCCCACAGGGATGCAATAAATGTCAAAGTACTTTTGTAAAAATTTCGATCAGGTAGCAATAAGTTATCACTGAGCCTGCTACTCACAGGGTTATGGTATCATTTGCAATTTAATTACTGTAATAATGTGATGATCAGGATACACAATACAATAACAGTAACTGAATTACAACCATATTACAACATAGTATTAATAATAATATCTAAGTGTCTGGGACCCCCATTTTGCGGTCTGGGACCCATGAAAATTTAGAGTATGAGTCCCAGGGACCCTCAAATACAGGTTTGAAGGTAAATCGCTGCACATATCCAAAAGAACATATAACCATTACAAAGTTATTGTATATTATTAGATAGTTTCAGAGAGACTCTGATAATAAGATCATTAGTGTTTTGTAATAATAATTTCAGGCTTTCTGCCTACCTCAAGAAATATTGTCCCAAGCAATGTTAAGGAAACTGAAACACACACACCCACAGCAGGGACAAAAAGTATACTTGCAACAGATTATTATGTGTAGCCACTTTTGCTTTTAATGTTATTGTTATCATTAACAATGATGAATAAATTTGTCTGTGTTATGTTTCAGGAAATGATGTTGTGATTGTGAAGAGTGGGAAGAGGATATGTGGAACCGGAGCAGCGCTTGCCAATGCACCAATCGTACAGAATAAAGCATATTTTGAAATCAAAATACAGAGCTCAGGTATAGTTCAAAACTGAAAAAGTAGAACTGAATATAATTAAGTTGAGAGAAGTCGTATGTAAAAGTGAGTTTAGTTTTACGCCGCTTTTAGCAATACTGCAGCAATATCGCGGCGGGGGACACCAGAAATATATAATATAATAATAAGTCATCTTCTATAGCGCACAGTATCCAAACACCAAGTGATTGCTTGCGGTGCTTTATCGGAATCTGATTATTATTACCCCGGATAACCCAAGCTGCCTGTAAGGCACAAGAAGGTTATAGTCACATGACTTTTTCCAACCGGGTACCCATTTTCTGCTGGGTGAACAGAGGCAATTTTGTGCGTCGTTGTGGGGCAGGACTGAAGTCCTAGAAACTCTTAGGAGTCAAGCTGCCAAACACGACGTTGCTTATCTTCAACTGATTTGTGACCTGAGCTGTACGCACAGGACCATACAGCGCCACAATAAGCTTTGCACATTGTACCCATGTGGGGAATCGAACCCTGGTCTTTGGTGTGATGGGCAAATGCTTTGACCTCCGGCTACCCTACCACCCTGTATGTAAAAAGAGCAACCCTGGTAACATAAGAAGGAAAATGCTTTTGTGTTTTAGAGTTTAGTGGAACCGGGCCACCATCCTTGGATCTATCTGTACATAAAGATTTGTTATTACGATATTGAGGTTAAGGGTCACATTAAAAATGTTTATAATGAGGTGGCCCTGGTTAACAAATGGGTGCCACAAGTTTCAAACTGGAGTTAGTGAGTGAGTTTAGTTTTACACCACCTGCAGGATTTTTCCAGATGTGTGACTGAGGTCTGTAAGTAATCAAGTCTGGACCAGACAGTCCAGTGATCAACAGCATGAGCATTGATCTACGCAATTGGGATAGGGCGATGAGTTAACCAAGTCAGCAAGCCTGACCACCCGGTCCCATTAGTTGCCTCTTACAAGCATGCATTACTGAAGATTAATTCCAACCTGGATCTTCACAGGTGTGTGGGGTGTGGGCTTGGCCACGCGGAAATGTAACATCAATGTGGTTCCCCTGGGAGACACCCCTGACTCGTGGATACTGAGGCATGATGGGACATTGTACCACAACAATGAGGAGTTCGGCAAGGTGCCGCAGATAGCGCAGGAAGGAGACATCGTGGTGAGTTGTTTTGTACAGACAAATCGTGGTAAGTTCCAGACAAGATTTCAGAGAGATCATTCACCTGATGAACTGCCCAGAAACAATAGGTGTTATAAACTTAGTATGTTTTGTTTATAGACTAAAGCTTAGTCCCTGAATATATATAATTTTGATAGTAACAAATAAGCCCATTTAAATTGAAAAGTAGCCCCAGTGAGTTGGGGGATTCAGGAACCTGGGGAAATCTAGACTTGCTTCGTTTAGGGCTTTAGCATTGCAGGGAGGGCTGGCAGTAGGGGAAATACTGTTGTTCAGGGACTGTGAGACAGACTAGTTTTGTATAGTGCTCTGTGTTTTTCTTACACAAAGTGTGCACTTGCCCCTTTTGTGTAACTGATACTCACTGACCACATTTATCTTTTGTGTGTGGAGCATGACATGCAATCAACAGTTTTGTTTCAGGGCCTAACATGACATTAGACTCATTTCTGTGACAGGGCCAAGCACACTTCCCTTTCAGCACATCTGTTTCTTTCAGGGCATATCTGTTTCTGTGACAGGGCCTAACCCCCAGCCTCATTTCTGTTTCAGGGCATAACACTAGCCCCATTTCTGTATCAGGGCCAAGCATGCTTGACACCCTTGTTTCAGGGCCTAACCCCTTTCAACCTCATTTCTGTATTCAACCTCTTTTCTGTTTCATGACATAACTGTGACAGGGCCCACACTTGCACATCTGTTTCAGGGCCTAACCCTCTCATTTCTGTATCAGGGCCAAGCATGCTTGCACCAAGCTTGTTTCAGGGCCTAACCCTCAACCTCTTTTCTGTTTCAGGGCATTAACAAGCCCTGTGACACCAAGCACACTTGCTGTTTCAGGGCCTAACCCTCAACCTCATTTCTGTTTCAGGGCATCCCTTTCAGACAACCTCATTTCTGTGACAGGGCCAAGCACACTTGCACCTCTGTTTCAGGGCCTAACCCCAAACCTCATTTCTGTTTCCACGACATTCTGTGACTGTCTCAGGGCCAAGCATGCTTGCACCTCTGTTTCAGGGCCAATCTACAACCACGTTTCTGTTTCAGGACATTAGACAACATCATTTCTGTGACAGTGCCAAAAACACTTGCACATCTGTTTCAGGAACTAACCCACAACCTCATTTCTGTTTCAGGGCATTAGACAACCTCATTTCTGTGACAGGGCCAAGCACACTTGCACATCCCTTTCAGGGCCTAACCCTCAACCTCATTTCTGTTTCAGGGCATTAGACAACCTCATTTCTGTGACAGGGCCAAACACACTTGCACATCTGTTTCAGGGACTATTCTACAACCTCATTTCTGTGACAGGGCCAAAAACACTTGCACATCTATTTCAGGGACTAACCCACAACCTCATTTCTGTTTCAGGGTATCACATACAACCACATTGAGATGAACTTCTACATCAACGGGGATGCTGTCAATGTCCCATTCACAGGCATCCGCGGCACAACGTACCCAGTGTTCTATGGTATTTTCCATACAACTAGTTTTCTTCACTTGATTTTCCATGTATCTCACTCAGAAGTTTATATGTCAAGGAAGGTTTATATGTCACACACTCCATTGCTTGGCAGACATTCCAAATTTTACTCACAGGTTTTGCATTTACAGATACTTTTAGAATTACAGTGCATTGTATTTGAAAAAGTGCTGTCCCCGTCTATGTTTCAGAAACGTTTCATGTTATGCATGATAAGAACCATAAAAGGCTTTCAGACTTTTCCTAACTGTTTAGTTGTGATAAGAGTAAATAGGTCATAATTGTTATCTGTTTGGACATGTTGGAGGCCTTTAATGTTGCTTAATTTGTTCATGATGGTCTGTTCTAGAAAATGTTTTGGATGCTTAATATATGCTTATATATTATTTGAATTTTTGTCTGTTGGTAAGGCTATATTCTTTTCATAATGTGTTAGCAGTGGTTAAATAATATCGTTAATCACTAAATGTTTTTAAAAAACAACAGTTATATTATTGTTTGATTTTTGTGGTGTCTTTTTAAATTTTAAATCCAAAAAGATCAACAGAACACATAGGATTTGTTTAAACCGTTGTTATGTTATTTCTGCTTATTTCCTGGTTTTTTTTTGTCTGAACCTGTAAATTGAAGAATAGAAAAATGTGAGATCATATCAAGATGTACACATAACGTGCATATTTTCTTTTTTAAGTCGACGATGGTGCAGTCTTAGATGTCCAGTTTGAGAAGTTCTACCACCAACCACCAGAGGGCTATGACAGCATCATGATAGAGCAATCTCTGCTCTGATTGGTCAGTGTGATGACTACTTGTCTGTGATTGGCTGAGAGAGAAACTGTGTTTGCTGCTATGGCAACCTTCGCTATGGTTACCACATGTGTTGATGGGAGGAAAAGGAATCTGTTTGTCTGGGACAACACCAGGAAACGATGAAAACGGCACAGGGAGACCGATTGACTTAGAGAAAGGAAAGCCAGGCTGGCAACAATCTCTAAAATATCTGCAACTGCCAACTTCCACTTTACGGTACCAAGACATTAAAGATCATTTCCATAATAACGGTTTCCGACAATGTGACTGAAATATAAACACAACTATATGTGAACTTATTTCTTTATAAATTTATTGATATTATTCATATTACTATTTATCTCATTCCTCAGCTATAGTTCTTTTGATATGTACTACTCAAAAATTGTTGAAAAATGACAGATTATGTGTTGTTACTTGAGAGTAAAGTCTTACGTCCTTGGAGTAGTATGTTTGAAAAATGTTTTTTAACTTCTGGGGTGAAAGGCAATCCTGTTATTATCATGTTTACTCAGTAAACGAATTACAGTGAAACTTTGTGACATCATTAAGAACATCCGACTCTCTACATCCCTTACTGTTATTGTAAAATCTAGTGTGTTGTCTGAAGTTATAGGTAAGAGTTCATTATGTGATAACCCTAGGGCTGGCTATTGATGTAGCTCATAGAGATTGGTAAGGGGTAACTAAATATCAATCAATTATCAATAAAAATCAGGGACGTAATTTTGAGTGAAAATGCAAAAATTGTCTGAAAGACTTGAATATATTCCACGTCACTGGTGAATGGCGCCATGTTTTGGCATGGATTTGCAAAACAGCATCCAGAATATACATGTAGTTTAGAAACAGGCCATGAATAAAGTCTTAAATTTGTATATTGTGTCAGAAAATTCAAACTTTTTTCCTGTCACAAAAACTAATGTACGATATTATCGATAACACAGTTTTCATATCGATAGTCATTAATAATAATTCCTTACGATGATACATGTATTTCTGATTATCAATCGTTTTTATCCAGCCTTAGATTTACCCCCATAGTCCTTTGTGGTCACTGCTAATACATTGTTACGATTTATGGGGATGCATACGAACATACTTGAGTGGTGTGAGGGTTTTCGATCTGTTCAACTGTCAAGGACATTTTGGATGACAATCAGTCAATGTCCAAGCGATATTTTTCAAATTAGGACATTGTCCTGTTATTGTTTGGTAAAATCTTAATAAACGTCCTATTGCCATTTGTCTGTAGAATAATGACTTGATATATGAAACTACTGATGCTGAAACTCACCTTCATTTGAAAGTTAAGTTACAGTAAATAACAGCACCACACTTGTCTCTCCCTGCTCTCGTCCTCCTCCTCCTCCCCCCTCCCCCACCAGTTTTTTTTTAGTCAGAGATATGTCAGATTTGAAAAGAAGTAACTTTATGTAAAAGAAAAATATGGACTTTTCCATAATTGACATGTCCAGCTTTTAAATGGACTTTCACTGTATCCATGGTAACTAACTATATTTACTGCATAACCAAACAAATATCTGCTAATTGTAATCCAACTACATCCATATTCTGGATTTAGTCTCTATATATCCGTTGTGTTGGTTTATTAAGTGTTTTAACTGCAATGAATTGTGAGTTTCATGTTGCTTGTACCTTGTAACTTAGTGTCACGTATGTTGGTTTATTATCCAAAGTCTGAGAAGAAAATATTGAAGTCAAACTTACACGCTCTCGTTTCTTGTGAACTGCATTTGAATAAGACTAACCAAATATGTTCATATGTTTACAGAAGATTGTACTTTATTGTAAAAGCATGATACACACCATTTGAGGAAGTTTTATACAGTGGAAAAACATTATGAGATAGGCTTCATAGAAATAAAGATGTTAAAAAAATATTGTCAATATCATTTATCATAATCACTCTTGAAAACATTTTTCTTTCACTTTTAATGCCAGACCAATGTATTTTCTTTATAATTTACATTTACATTCGTATTTCTGCTAAATTGTTCAGTCAATGATTAGTAGTGATTTTCTTGCATAGTTAATATAGAGTTATGTCCCTTCCATAACAGATAGCTATTTCATAATTACCTCCCTTTGGCTTTTGATAATAATTATACTTCCAACAGACAATGTCTTCAAAGATGGCAAATTCATTATTGTTTTTAGTTCCACCTCGTCCTAAAATAGTTATATTGATAAAAGTTCCATGATCCCATTTGATAAAAGAAATCTGAAGTCAGCTTTTTCGAAACAATTCCTTCCTTCCCTGGACTTAGAAAAATAGTGTCTGCCATGTGACAAAAAAACCCATAATGTCCTTATCAACAATAGTTAAGTCTAATAATTTTCAGAAGCATGAATATTTAGTTCTTTTATTGTGTACTTTTTTAAACATTAATAACAATGTTTGTGAAATAAATCCTCAACTTTGACAAACCCTTTTAATTTTCTAACTATTTGCCTCCAGCTGCTTTACATATAGATTAAGAACTTTCTAGGCAAAGACAGGAAAATTCATATGGTTTGGATTTAGATGAGAAGTGTATTTTCATTCATTTTGTTTGCACACTTTCTCACATAATTATTAGCAGTCCGCCCGTCCATGTTAAATATATGAAGAAAAAATACCCCAGAAACTACTGGTTTTATTTTTTCATTCATGATAAATAACAAATCCTGAAATACAAGGTGAGTACAAGAGAGAAGAAATTGTACAATACAATGCTGTCGTCGACTATATGTATCACCAGTTGTATGGATGTTGTGAAGCTAGACTGTCTTCAGTCTCACTGTATGTTTTGTCTGTATTCTTAATGTCCAGGGCCCACTTGCACAGAGCAACCTTAGTTACAATCAATCTTAGGGCCTTACAATCAACTTTACAATCACCATACAATTGCCCTAATCCACTTGAACAAAGCCGATCTTAGAGCGATTGTAAGACCGCATGGATTTAAGATCGCGATCTTAGCTAAGATCGAACTCTTCAACGGTGGTGGTACGAATTTCTTAAACTCGACTCCGTCTACAGTTGTCTCAAAGTCATAGCATGCTGCGCAAATAAAAGTGATACTGGTCCCAGCACACAATACATACCTCCCTCAATCGCACCTTGCAGAATTTATCATGAAAAGTCCCAGAAATCTTAGAAGGGACTGATTAAGTGGACGATAGCATATATTTTTCTACATTCTAACTGTCTTGATTTATGAACTGAGAATGTGATATTGCAACCACAGAAATACCTACCCATGTTTTATGAAAATACTGAAATCTGAAAAAATACATGAATAAATTTGGATCTAGATTTAGTGACTTAATTATGGAACTTAAAATAACAAATATAAACAGTATTTCCTTATGATATAACACCTAAATGTATGATTTGCCAATGGTTGTCAATGAGGCGTTGTTTAATCACGCAGCTGTTGGGGGGAGGGAGGGTAAAATCCTAAATATAACCTAGAATAAAATACAATAAAACAATGGCTACAGAAGTGTTGTAAAGAATGCTTGGCAGGGAAATCGTGCATTAAATAATATTTCAAGAGAGTAGTTATTAAATCATTATTCACAGTATATTAATTATTTAACCCTATTAGCGTTGATTAATATTTTTCTTAAAGTGAAATCCTTTGAAACAGAAATTTTTAATACCCCATCATGTGTATATCCCTATTTGATGACTACTTGTATATATTTAAATTGCATAATCAAATTTAGATTTATGGATGAGAAAGAAACTTGATTTTGCACGTTAACTTGTATCTAATTGTAGATTACTTTAATGATAAACTAAGACAAAATCACTCCATGACCGAAAAGAGATATCAGTATGTTGACTGTACTGCAGCGGCATATGCCAAGGGAAACCACTCCCATCTTAGCGTATAAAGTAAAATTATCTGCACTTGAGTTAATGAAAAGGTCCACGGCCATTGTTAATCGCACGCCGACACCATTAAGCTATTATCCTTTCCTTGATTATCAAGAAGGTATGTTGTTTCACACTTATTCCAACATTGAATCGGGTGGGAATAGTACTATGTGATGTCGACTTCGATAGTTATGTGTTTCACTACAGTAAATAAAAATGTACCCGACGTTAAATCAGTTGTGCATTCTCCGTGTTGTTGAAATGTCGAGGCGAACCACACAGTTTCATGCAATATAAATGCAATCTCCAAACGTAAAGCTGATTATTTGCGTGAAACAGACACTAATTTGAATGCCATTTCTAAAATGATCTTAGCTCCTTACAATTGGTCCGGACCAATTGTAAGTTTCGATTGTAACTTACAATAATCTTAGCCTACAATTGCTTTGTGCAAGTAGATGGCGATTGTAACCGAAGCCTAAGATCGCGATCTTAAGGATTTACAATAATTGTAGCGCTAAGATCGTTCTGTGCAAATGGGCCCTGATCTTCACAGTCAGTGTATTGGTTACTGTTCAAGATGTTAGTAAGCTGCATTTGCTAGCTGCATCTCACTCACGATGAAACTGTCGTTCAGCAAGTTGAAAACTATGTGTTCAAGGTTATTCAGCTTTTGAAAAACACAAAATCCAACATGGTGTCACCTGTGTAAACGTTTTTTAAATGTTTTACCATTTTCTTTGTTGTGCATAATAAAAAACTGTTTTTTTATTATTTTTTGTTATTCTTTTCAATCACGCTGACAAAAAACCAAGTTGTTGGTTGCCTAGGTAACATAACTGCTTGATACTGACATACTTCTTGCAAAGCTTTACTGATTCTAGAAAATCTTGCCATTAATTTTTCTTTCTGGTTATTCAGACTGAATTCCTTTGGTAGGTGTATTTCGTATTTGGAAACTAAGGGTTAAAATAGTTACCAAGCAACCAGTGCTGGTGTAAGAGATAGATCAGGTTTGTCTGTTTGTTTAACAACACACTAAATAATCATGTTATATGACGACGGTCAACGATTGAGTCTGGACCAGACAATCCAGTGATAAACATCATTCAGCATCAAATTTACGCAACCGGGATACAATGACATGTGTTAACCAAGTCAGCGAGTCTGACCACCCGATCCCGTTAGTCATCTCTTACGACAAGCATGGTTTGCTGAAGACCAATTCTAACCCGGAATCTTCATAAGTCAAACGGATCAGGCGTCAGATTTGGAGTCTTGGGTGGTATTGTATACTCGGACACAATGGATCGGTGCTCTTGATATCGATCACTGGATTGTCTTCCAGACTCCATTATTACTAACCACTGACCACTCTCATGTAGCTCAGTGATTGCTGAATGCAGTGTCATCAACAAACAATTCAGTTGTATGTATCTTAGGTGCAGTAGCGACAATAAGTACAACTGCCTCAATATAGATACAGGTAGTTCTTTTCTAAAAAAACGTTCACTCACTCACGCAAAGTTTCGTGACATTACAACCAAAGAAGCCTTTCATTTTAGAAACTCAATTAGAGACAATGTACTCCTGTCTCTACAACCACCCCTCATATATATATATTTCAGTACTACCCCCCTTTCCCCTGAAAAAAAAATCCCCTGAGGAGCATTAATGTCATAATGGCATTTACAGATTGAGTTGGTCATGGGGTACTTAATACAATGATTACCGTAATTAGAATCTGACAGATTTTCAGTGTTTGTGGGTCTGTCTTCTGTGTATCATGTTGTGTTGCCTCTATGGCTAACGTTGATGTCAAGTTGTTGTTATTTATTTCTGGCCCCGATTTCTGGAGTTTTTACTCAAAATCTGAGAAAATGCAGGAAAATGCATTTCCCAGAATGAACTGAAATCCATATTAGACAATTTGAGTTTGGTGGATAGATTACTTAAGTTGTTTGGGCTTTTTTATTTTGAAAATGCAGTTGATTTAAAAATTCAGCTGTTTCAAATTTTCAGACTCAGTTTGAAATCAGAGTAAAAACTTCAGTTTGTTTCGAGAAATTGGGGCCAGGAAATACATCTACAGTTGTTGTTTTATCTCTTGCCCTTGTAACAGTTCAGCTTTCAGATTGTCAAATGGATGTGTGTGAAGTTGCAATATGATTGAATAAACATGTAAACCCTCATTACAGCAAGTTAATCCTTTTTTTCTTATCTTAAAAAGAGAAAATGTTTCTCAGGCACACGTTTCAAGAAATTTGAAAATGTCTGCAAAAATTCCATATCATATGTAGCAGGCTCTATTATCCAATAAGCCAGATTAGAATTGGTCTCCAGCAATCCATGCTTGTGGTAAAAGGCGACTAACAGGATCGGGTGGTCAGACTCGCTGACTTGGTTGACATATGTCATTGCATCCCAATTACGCAGATCGATGCTCATGATGTTGATCACTGGGTTAGCTGGTCCAGACTCGATTATTTACAGACTGCTGCCATATAGCTGGAATATTGCTGAGTGCGACATTAAACAAAGAGACCCAAGGTTAAATACATACCAAGCTGTAAACTGCTTCACTTTTAAGGAAAAAATTGCCAAGAAACGTTTTTTGCTGCACAACCTTAATAGTGACTATTTCTTTTCACAGAATATGGAACATTGTCCCCAATGTCACTGTTCTATAATTATCTGTAGATTATATTTGTAATTACATTTTAATGGATTCGTTGCTAATCATCTCACTGCTCTTTACTGACTTGAGAACTCAAACCTTCCCTACGGACTTGACCCTTCCCAACTGACCTTGACCCTTTTATACACACCTTGACCCTTCCCTGACCTTTTCTCTTCACTACTGACCTCTACCTTTTAGTCGCTGAGTTTACATTATTGTTACGTTGGGATAAATCAAGGTCACAGAGAGTGTGAGTAATGAAGGGTCAAGGTCACATATAGTCAGGGTAGGGAAGGGTCAAGGTCACATATAGTCAGGGTAGGGAAGGGTCAAGGTCACATATAGTCAGGGTAGGGAAGGGTCAAGGTCACATATAGTCAGGGTAGGGAAGGGTCACACATAGTCGGGGTAGGGAAGGGTCAAGGTCACATATAGTCAGGGTAGGGAAGGGTCAAGGTCACAGTCTCTAAGATCAAAGTCGCTAGGACACTGGTAGTGTTGTATAGAGTATGGTTAGGGAAGGGTGAAGGTCGCATATAGAGTGAGTATCCAAGGGTCAAGGTTGCACAGGGCACAGATAAGATTTATCAGTTTGATGCCAGTCATGTGATATCTATATGTTGTGCCAGTATGTTGTGAAGTATGTTATGTTGATGGTTTATTAAGTGTATTGTGATAAAATGCTCAAGATGTTGTCTTCATCAGTAAACTATCTTCTACACTGTCCAGGGCTCGATTAAAGGGATGTTACCTACTTGCACCAGGTGCAACCTAAGAATAAAAGCCTAGTTGCTCTAGCCAAATTCCAGTTGCAATGTAGTGTGTTAAATCATCAGAGGTTTTGGTGCACATAAACATATTTCCGTGACGTAGTACCCATGAAACCATAGCAACACAGAGACACAGCTGATCCGTTTACAAGAGCTGTCATAGCCAAGAAGTGTCTATAAATAGCAATGTTTCGGTGCCATAGCTATTCAAAGTTTAGAAGAAAAATGAACTGACATATTTAGATTTGTTATTGATTTATTTCTCAAAACTTGACTTGCACATGGTTCACTTTTGACTAATAACTAGGTTGCACTTTGTGATATTGAGTTGCACCAGTGCAAGTAACAAAGCACTAAATCAAGCCCTGCTGTCCATTTATGACCATGTAAATGGTGACATTTATTTAGTATCAAGGATGAAATAGAATGCAGTAATTACATTGTTCTAACCATGTTCAGCTTCATGGCATGTTATAACATATAGAAGTACACATCACTGTAACATGGCCTCTGTTCTTCATGATACAGTATAAATACCTTGTATCCCCACAAACTTTTGAATAGCATTTCACACGATCAGTCAATACATACTGACCCAAAAATGTTATGCAACATGGATATTTTATATTATATCAGTTAATATTTTTAGGATTTTTTTATGAAATTGTGCGCTCAGTCTTCATGACAAAGAAAATATTCCCCAAAATATACAGTTTGTTCTGTAATTATAATTATGATCACCAGGTTTTTCCGTAACAGAGAGAATTTGAAGATTTGAAAACTCAATCCCTAAATGTGCAGAGGTGATATATCCTCTGTGAGCTGACTATCCTGAAACTGTTTTTGAGATTATTTTTAACAAATGTTTTTATCTGAGGTGAATCAGATGATCAGCTCTGGTGCATCTATACATACTAGTGTTGGGAATTGTTTAAAAATGATTGGTTCATTACAACCGATCAATCATCAAAAATAATTGGTTAGCGTCATTTATAAAATTCTGGTTATGTTTGTTAATGCACAAAAAATATAGAGAGAAAATATTTAGTTCTTTCGGGGTCTTTTTGCAAATTGCACAAAATGCATTTACAAATTTTACATCTTTCAAGGAACATAAATGTCCTCTGAAGTCTTAAAGATAAATTCAGTCATGACAAGGAACGAGCTTGTAGTGCTTATGAAATGTAACAGACAAAACCAGCCTTGTGAAATATATTGTTATTGCAAACAAGTGTTCCAAAATTGTTTGTGTTCGATTATGAGAAAACACGATCGATTGTTTGGTTGTTTAGTCGCTGCGACCAATCTTCAATTATTTGAATTAATTGGACCACCACTAATACATACAGAAGTGGATTAAACATTGCTACCTATAGTCCGTTTGCAGTGAAAACGTACCGATGAATGTCACTTTAAACCAAAAAGTAAAACAAATAAAGTGAAATTAAGACTGCGAATCCTCATGATTTTACCTTGCCAATTGAACATTTAAATCTCAGAATTTTATTCGACTTAGGATAAAAGTTGTTTAACAAACGATCAGTTTCACATATTATTGGTTTGTATTACAAGGGGGTATGCACATCAAAAGAAACACCGAAAACGACAAGGGTTGTTATAAGTTAACGCTCATCACGTACCGCACGTGCATTTGTTTCACTGTTCCAACTACTACGCTTACCCCCTTGTAATACAAACCAGTAATAGCGATTTGAATCTATGATCGTTTGTTAAACAACTTTTATCCTAATTTGAATAACTTTTTGAGATTTAAATGTTCAATTGGCAAGGTCAAATTATGAGGATTTGCAGTCTTAATTTCACTTTATTTGTTTTACCTTTTTGTTTAAAGTGAAATTCATCGGTACGTTTTCACTGCAAACAGACTATAAATAAGCTACTCGGTAGTTTAGTTTTCATAAAATGAACAAAAACATTTCAATATCAACTTCTTCCAGAATCTTTTTATCATGATGTGAATGTTTAAGACAAAAAGAAAATTTATACTTGCTTCAGCTAACATTGATTGAGAAGTAGTTTTAACGTAATGTTCAATATTTTAAAAATATATAACACAGATTGCTTGTTTAGAACTGATGTTTCTATCAGTGTTTCTAAAGTAGGCTGAATATCTGGAAGTATTTGAAGCAGTGGGTTGGGGTGGTTACCAGAGACAAAAATTGATTTTTATGAAAATATCATTGAAATTGTCTAATTCAAGATTCTGAATAGATGCCCACCAAACTGTCAGAACGTTGCTTAAAATACAGTTATGTGATTTCATTTGAAAAAAAACATTCCTCCATTTTGTATGGTTCTGTCCCCACCAGCAGTTATGGTCTCCATGTTGCTCTGTATCAACTAACTTTAAGTATTGTCTGTACGTAACATGTCAATAAAATGTTACAGTCACGCTATGGCTTTGTCCTTTTTAACATGTGAAAATTCGAATCAAGATCAGACAGAAAATCCAGTGATTGACATCATGAGCATCGATCTAATCAAATTGGATATGATGACATAGCCAGGGCTCCAGATAATTTTTCAACATCAGGAGTACGTACTCCTTATTTGTTCAATACTGAGTACTGGAAAACCTTCAGTGTACATTTAGAGTACTGAATGGAAGCTAATGGACTATCAGTAATCTTGTGTTTCGTTTCAAATGTGCACCACAACATTGCTACTCTTGTGTAAACAGGTCAATAAACAATAAAACAATACTTTTTTCAGATAAATACGTCTGTAAATGATTCTAAGACCGTACACCATTGCTGTGGTGCGTATCTGCTACGTTTTCTAAATTATTTCCTACCGTATCGTGCATATTGTTTATCTGTACATATGCCGATATGGCCCTTATCTGGAGCCCTGCATAGCCAATCAAGCCAGCATACCTGTGGCTAGCTTCATGTGAGCTTTCTAATCAGCCAATCAGAGTCTAGTGACAGAGACACATCAATTTAGCATATTTGATTTTTGTGTCTAAAAACATAAATTTAAAACATCATCCAAGTGAGAAAGTACAGCAGAGCCTTTGGATTGTTCTATATTAAACATCCTGCTATTTCTGAGCATGATCAAATCAACACCAAACTGGTGTGTTGTCGAGTGTATATTTGTGACCAGGGGTAGTTTTCTTTTGCAAAATTGAATAGTTCAAAATCATGTTGGCATAGAAACAAAACCTATATCATTTCAGTCTTCATATACACAATATGGTCACCATTTACAAGCCACAATCACCCCGATTCAAATCGTAAAATTTCATTCAACTGAGATTTAATAACAACTTGGATTCACCTCTTCCTTTTCTCACTAAACTCTTACATTCTGAAAACGTAATGTCACTGTATGCAATAAATGTTGGTTGGTTTGTTTAACGCCACACTCAGCAATATTCCAGTCATATGGCAGCGTCTGTAAATAGTCGAGTCTGGACCAGGCAATCAAGTGATCAACAGCATGAGTATCGATTTACACAATTGGGAACTGATGACATGTGTCAACCAAGTCCAGCGAGTCTGACCACCCGATCCCGTTAGTCGCCTCTAATGACAAGAATAGGTTACTGAAGATCAGTTCTAACCCAGATCTTCATGGTCTCTAAAATAAACAAATATGGGTATTTTTACATTTGTTTTTAGTAGTAATGATAAGGCCAAAACCTCAGCAGGGTTTTGGGGTAGGCTAGTGGTTAAAGCATTCGCTCGTCACGCTGAAGACCTGGGTTCGATTACCCACATGGGTACAATGTGTGAAGCCCATTTTCTGGTGTCCTCCATCATGATATTGCTGGAATATTGCTACAAGCAGAGTAAAATCTCTCACCCACCCAAAAACTTGTTTACAGTACAAACAATCAGAAACGTTTACATTTGATGTTTATTTGTACAGTAGGATGTATATGATACATACAACACAGGAACATTTAGATGAACATGTACATATGAATTACATGATAGCAGTGAAGCATTCTTTATCTAGAGGGACCGTTCATCATTTATGGCTAGAGGGGTTTGATGATGATTTTAAGTGGGGGTCACCCATTTTGTTCATGGGAGGTAGGGGGGATCATCAAATTTGTACACTTGTTCTGGGGGTGGGGAGTGGGGGTTTGTCAGCAATTTTGTACCTAAAAATATTTCAAAATTATGCTTTAAAAAATTGAGGAAGGGGAGGCGGGGTCATTGATTTTGTACATGACATGGGGGGTCACTTTGTACATCTCACATTGTACATGTTTCTCCATAAAAATCATCACACACACACACACACACACACACACACACACACCCACAAACCACCCCACCAGCCATAAATTATGAACGGTCCCTTACTTCGTCAATACTGCCAGTGAAGACATGACAGCACACTGAAAATCGAGGTTCTGTTCCCCATATGGGTACAATATGAGGAGCCCGTTTCTGGTTTCCCGCTCTGTGACCTTGCTTGATTATTGTTAACAGCAGCGTAAAACCTTTCACTAATTCCAACCTTCAGCATGCGCATCGATCTACGTAACTGGGATACAATGACATGTGAGCCTAGCACAGCGACTCTGACGACCCAATCCTGTTAGTTGCCTCTGATGCAGTGTCCAAATACTATAAAACAGTTGATAGAACAGGGAACGGGTTCTGTTTGCTGACAACAAGCTTCTGATGCTGAAGATGAGAAAGTTTCGGATGTTGCTAGTGATGTACTATAAAACAGTTGATAGAACAGGGAACAGGTTCTGTTTGCTGACAACAAGTTTCTGATGCTGAAGATGAGAAATGTTTCAGATGTTGCTGGTGATGTACTATAACACAGTTGATAGAACAGGGAACAGGTTCTGTTTGCTGACAACAAGCTTCTGATGCTGAAGATGAGAAATGTTTCAGATGTTGCTGGTGATGTACTATAACACAGTTGATAGAACAGGGAATGGGTTCTGTTTGCTGACAACAAGCTTCTGATGCTGAAGATGAGAAATGTTTCAGATGTTGCTGGTGATGTACTATAAAACAGTTGATAGCACAGGGAACGGGTTCTGTTTGCTGACAACAAGCTTCTGATGCTGATGGGAGATGTAGCCTTTGATTTTGTTCTGAAAAATAAAATATCCATGCATGATACAAAATGTTACAAGAATGGCATGTTAATAATACAAGAATCATTTCTCATGTAGTATTTCTGTTATCATTTATTACATAGGATCTTACTGCACTGTTTCCTTTAAGGCACTTCATCACACCACTAACTCTAAAAAATACATAATGCATTTCTCTCAATAATACTATCAGACCTCAGGGAAGCTGACATATAATTTTTTATTTTTTTTGTACGTATTTAGATTACAATATCAAATTAAAAGTTTAAATTACTTAATGCAACGTTGCATTAAATCGATACTTACGCCCTCTACCGGCCAAACATTATTTTTATGCGAACCCCACAGAGTTATGTCCCTTGGAGCGCTCTTTATGAATATCCGCCGCACAACTTGTGATTGAAACCAGTTCGTCAAACACCAACAACACTGTGTGCGACAGTTTTCGATGTAAAGAGCAATTATTTACATTCCATACATGTTCTTGCCATGAAGTGGTGTCACTGTGTTTGGAAGCTATTCCCCTCAAAGTTTCAATTAACGATTTCAGGCAAGTCGTAAGGGATAATAAGTCTTTTATTACATCAAAAGGAAGCTAAAGTGAGTGCATATGCCCAATATATATAAGATAGGCCAAAATATTTTCGAAGACCTGTGACAATGACATTGTGCCTTTAATTGCCTCTGATCTACTCTTACAAAGCATATTGTGGTTTGGATTATCTTTCATCCTCAAACATGTCAACATTCATTCATCCCGTGTTGTATGGGGATCTGTCTCGACATGTGTATTGCTAGTAAGTTGTTTATGATTCTAGTCGTGTGTGTGACCGAAACATGAGGACACACAATTAGTGTCCATGCCAAGAGTCATTGTGACCATGCAATCCCCATTTCACCCCTGAATCCCACAAAGTGAAACCTACTGAGGACTTCACCCACCTCATATATAAGGTTAGCAATGATACACTGGGTCTCATCGTCATCGATGTCTTCAACCTGGAACAAACATTACGGACATATATAAAGACCTCAGACAAGCAAGAACCTTACAAGATCAAAACTCCACACAAAGCTTATTGCTACATGAAATCAGTGCTCATACTGTCAGCCACATGGACCAGACAATCCTGTGGTCGATGGTATGAGTACTAATCTTATATCATCTCTCTAGACCAGACGATCCTGTGGTTGATGGTATGAATACTGATCTGATATCATCTCTCTAGACCAGACGATCCTGTGGTCGATGGTATGAGTACTGATCTGATATCATCTCTCTAGACCAGACGATCCTGTGGTCGATGGTATGAATACTGATCTGATATCATCTCTCTAGACCAGACGATCCTGTGGTCGATGGTATGAGTACTGATCTGATATCATCTCTCTAGACCAGATGATCCTGTGGTTGATGGTATGAATACTGATCTGATATCATCTCTCTAGACCAGACGATCCTGTGGTCGATGGTATGAATACTGATCTGATATCATCTCTCTAGACCAGACGATCCTGTGGTCGATGGTATGAATACTGATCTGATATCATCTCTCTAGACCAGACGATCCTGTGGTCGATGGTATGAATACTGATCTGATATCATCTCTCTAGACCAGACGATCCTGTGGTCGATGGTATGAGTACTGATCTGATATCATCCCTCTAGACCAGACGATCCTGTGGTCGATGGTATGAGTACTGATCTGATATCATCCCTCTAGACCAGACGATCCTGTGGTCGATGGTATGAGTACTGATCTGATATCATCCCTCTAGACCAGACGATCCTGTGGTCAGTGGTATGAGCACTAATCTCATAACTATTTGTATATCATCAACCCTGGACCAAGGCAGATGTCTATGGTATTTGTATCAATCCATCTGGTAATGATGACACCCATTAACCATTATACACACTGTACCAACTTTACCAGTGTAAGAAATAAGCCAAAAATCCAACCAGCCCAAATGGATTAATCAAGACCAGACACCAAGATATGGTCAATTTGCTCAGATGTATGGGACATCTAAATATTTTACCAGACCACCGGGCTGACAAGCTGTAAATTTAGACCGTCCGTCAGAAATCTAGCCCGTCTCAGGTGGTCGGACGGGCCTTATTTCATACACTGACTTTACCTCCTTTTGCCAACTTTTGCATCAAGCACAAGAAATACGAGGTTGGTCCTACCTGGGTTCACTTTTGTGTAGCAGCTGACGAATATGAGAGGCACGATTGTTTAGTTTGGGGCATGGGTGTCCGACATTAACAGTCAATATATTTGGGTTACGAGGACCCACAGATAAATACAGGTAAAATACAGGCTGGTTGGTTGAAAAGTGCTGCACTCAGCAATATTCCAGCTTTACAGTGGCGGCCTGTACATAATCAAATCTGGACCAGACAAGTCAGTGATCAACAGCATGAACATCGATCTTCGTAATCAGGACACGATGACATGTGACCTGACCACCACAATGGTCAGTTCGCCTCTCACGACAAACATTGGTTGCTGATGACCAATTCCAACCTGGACCTTCTCTGGTATTTAATTACAGGTAAATACAGGTGAATATATAATCGTATTATTAGAATATGTGAATTTGTTGTGAACTTACATCCATGAGCCTCAGAGCCATTGTGAAGTCTTCGAGAGGCAGAAGATGGTTCTTCTGATGAATCAAGTATCTGTAACAAACACAGATGCATGCATCGCCATGGTGATGTGATACAGGAGAATGTTTGTGAATGTCAAACGACAAAATCATTTGACGACTGGTTTCTTGCTACTCTGCTGGTACCAAACCATCCACTAGGGCTGTAAGAATGCATCGAAATATTGATGGATTGCAATTTTTGAGTTTCTGATAGCAATTAATCAATGGTAGAAACGAAAATCTATCTATGCATCGATAGTATGTGTGACTACTGACAGCTTAGTAACTGACTTCCGTTGATAAATGTGCAGTGCAAAATACAGGAAGTACCAGATTCGTTCACTTTTACTTAGAGTTATCTGCCCCGTTACCCCTTACAACAAACATGTTCTGGGTTTCAAGTCTCTTGTCAGTTATTAAAAGAGACTGAAACTACAGCTTGTGTTTATTTCATATAAACTATACATTCATTTGGGAAACAACTTCAAGTGAGACAATTCATGGAGAGACAAACTATTGCAATAGTATTGCAATAGTTGGTCGCAATAGACTATCGCTATCGCAATAGTTGTTTCCCCCTTAATAGTCATCCCAACCATCCACACTTGGAAGTCACATTGGCGACCAGAAATATGTATAATCAGACACCTAGTACGGTTTTACGTTTCTTTGACTAATATTCTAGCAATATCTTTGCACATTCTACTCATGTGGGGAAATGAACCTAACACTTTGCCATGACATTGGCAAACACTTTAACCACTTGGCTATGTGAAGTGAGGACACTTAATGTCTGACTTACACTTTCTTGAAGAGGTTCCTGTAGGTGATGATCTTCAGTTTCTCCAGGATCAGGTAGATGCCGCACTTGATGAAGAACGCCTCGTGTTTCAGGAACGCTGTGTTCAGCTGCAGCAGGTTGCCAGAACTGGGGAATACAGTAAATACGTGTAAATAATCAAGTCTGGACCAGACAATCCGGTGATCAACAGCATGAGCATTGATCTGCGCAATTGGGAACTAGTGACATGTGTAAACCAAGTGACCGAGCCTGACCACCCGATCCCGTTAGTCGCCTCTTACGAGCAGCATGGGTTAATGAAGGCACATTCTAACCTGGACCTTCCATGGGTGTCAGTGTTAGAGACAAGGACAACAATGTTAGAGAATCATAACAGTGTTTAAGTAGGGAGAACATTGTAACAGGCAGTCATGACAGTGTTACAGGCATGACTGTGTGGTATGCAATCATCAATGGTAGAGATTCGCAATAACGTAAAGTAAGGCTGAATTCTTAACAGTGTTAAAGCACAGCTTCTATGCAGTGTTAAATGCAGGATTTGGCAATGCTCAATAGATATCAACTGTTTTCACTAACGGCACAATATTGATTGGGATGCTGGTGTTGTGGTAGAGATGATGATGTTACAGAGATATAAACCAAATTCAAGCAAGATAAGATAACTCTTGACTTTGTGAATGAGTTATCTCCCTTACCTCACTGCCCGAGCAACATCTGCAAATTGCTTGAGGTTGTACTTGTGTAGAACACTGAAGGTTGGCATCTGTCCCTGAAGAGAGAGACAACAAGATCCCATAACTACATATTCCTAAAACGTAAGTCCCAAACACTTTCAAAGTCCATATGGCACAACCATACTTTTTAATCGTAGCATTTCTGTTATTTTAACTTTCGGCTAAATGTTCCTACATCGCCAGCGGCTGAAGGGATGGTGTAAATCCAGCTAGGGTCCATGCAGGTAGCAAAAGTCCCCATGGTTCCTAGTATGGTGATCTACCTTCAGTTGTTGGCGATCAATAGCCTGTTTTTTTATATTGTATCGTCTTGTATAGTTCAAATGTTTTAGATTTAGTTACTAGTTTTATATCTATATCTGTGATAATCTAGTTGTTTTACTGTCCTTCGTTGGCAGAATTTTATAATTTCCCTTAAATTGTTGATATATTCATAACTTGCTTTAGTCACAATATGGCTGAAATATTGCCGATGTGACGTAAAATCTTAACTCACTCAGTCACTCACATATTCCTAAACATGAACAAAGTGTTTGCAGGTTTGTGGCGGATGTAACAGACTGGGTGATCGTCCTCTATCACTGCTGGGACTCACAGTCCGGGAGTTTAAGCAATGAGTTGTCAAGTACAGTTTTGTTTGTCTGTTTGATGTTTAAGCCACACTCAGCAATATTCCAGCTTTATGGCAGCAGTCTGTAAATAATCCAGTCTGGACCAGACATTCCAGTGATCAACAGCATAAACAGGGATACGAAGCGGAACGGGGAATTGGGACCCGAAGACATGTGACCAGGGTCAGGGTCAGGATTGCTAGGGCTAGGGCTAGGGTCAGGGCCAGGGTCAGGGGGCCAGGGCCAGGGCTATTGCTAGGGTAGGTCTAGGGTCAGCAGAGTTAGGGTTAGGGTTAGTGAGTATGACCACCTGGTTAGGGCTATGACAAGCAGAGTTAGGGTTAGGGTTAGTGGATGAGAGTATTTTCCACACTGATCCTGTCTCAAATGCAAAAGTAAGATATTCTTCTTCAAAAACAAGAGTAATACAAATCTAAGAGCGACAAGCATGGGTTTCCTTGACAATCAACAGTAAAAAAAGTGGATTATCAACATGTTAACAGGTATTATCAACAGTGTTAAAGAGTGGCATCAACAGTGTTAAGGATCAACAGTGTAGATGGATTATCAACAGATTAAGAGCGGATTATGTTTTCAACAGTGTTAAAGAGTGGATTGCACTGTTAAGAGTGATTACCAGTGTCAAGAGCATTATCAACAGTGTTAGAGTGGATTATCAACAGTCCGAGTGAAGTGAAATGTGAAAAACAAAGTAATACAAATACTAAAGAGTGGATTATCAACAGTGTAAAGAGTGGATTATCAACAGTGTTAAGTGGATTATCAACAGTGGATTATCAACAGTGTTAAGAGTGGATTATCAACAGTGTAAAGAGTGGATTATCAACAGTGTTAAGAGTGGATTATCAACAGTGTTAAAGAGTGGATTATCAACAGTGTTAAGAGTGGATTATCAACAGTGTTAAGAGTGGATTATCAACAGTGTAAAGAGTGGATTATCAACAGTGTAAAGAGCAGATTACCAACAGTGTTAAGAGTTGTTTATCAACAGTGTAAAGAGTGGATTATCAACAGTGTTAAGAGTGGATTATCAACAGTGTAAAGAGTGGATTATCAACAGTGTTAAGAGTGGATTATCAACAGTGTTAAGAGTGGATTATCAACAGTGTAGAGATTTGATTATCAACAGTGTAAAGAGCGGATTGAGGATGGATGGGCAACACATACCTGCTTTGTAGTCGCTGTCAAACATGGCCTTCCTCCCGACATAGTACCTGTGAGCAGAAACAACCCTCTGGTAATGAACGTCAATACATGGAACATATACAATCTGATCCATCTGCCAGAAACAGACCTTGCACCTTTATTACAAGCTTCTAGTGATACTATCGTCAAGATCCTTGAAATCCCAGGCATTTGGTTTGTAAGTAAGTTAAAGAGCTCATCCTGGCTTTCGGTTGAAGACCTACCTGTATGTGATGAGCTGGGAGAGACAGACCTACCTGTATGTGATGAGCTGGGACAGACAGACCTACCTGTATGTGATGAGCTGGGAGAGACAGAGAGACCTACCTGTATGTGATGAGCTGGGAGAGACAGAGAGACCAGAGAGAACCTACCTGTATGTGATGAGCTGCTGGGAGAGACAGAGACAGAGAGACACCTGTATGTGATGAGCTGGGAGAGACAGAGAGACCTACCTGTATGTGATGAGCTGGGAGAGACAGAGAGACCTACCTGTATGTGATGAGCTGGGAGAGACAGAGAGACCTACCTGTATGTGATGAGCTGGGAGAGACAGAGAGACCTACCTGTATGTGATGAGCTGGGAGAGACAGAGAGACCTACCTGTATGTGATGAGCTGGGAGAGACAGACCTACCTGTATGTGATGAGCTGGGAGAGACAGAGAGACCTACCTGTATGTGATGAGCTGGGAGAGACAGAGAGACCTACCTGTATGTGATGAGCTGGGAGAGACACAGAGACCTGACCTGTATGTGATGAGCTGGGAGAGAGACAAACAGACCTACCCTGTGGGAGATGAGCCTGGGACCTGTATGTGATGAGCTGGGAGAGACAGAGAGACCTACCTGTATGTGATGAGCTGGGAGAGACAGAGAGACCTACCTGTATGTGATGAGCTGGGAGAGACAGAGAGACCTACCTGTATGTGATGAGCTGGGAGAGACAGAGAGACCTACCTGTATGTGATGAGCTGGGAGAGACAGAGAGACCTACCTGTATGTGATGAGCTGGGAGAGACAGAGAGAGAGACCTACCTGTATGTGATGAGCTGGGAGAGACAGACAGACCTACCTGTATGTGATGAGCTGGGAGAGACAGAGAGAGACCTACCTACCTGTATGTGATGAGCTGGGAGAGACAGAGAGACCTACCTGTATGTGATGAGCTGGGAGAGACAGAGAGACCTACCTGTATGTGATGAGCTGGGAGAGACAGAGAGACCTACCTGTATGTGATGAGCTGGGAGAGACAGAGAGACCTACCTGTATGTGATGAGCTGGGAGAGACAGAGAGACCTACCTGTATGTGATGAGCTGGGAGAGACAGAGAGACCTACCTGTATGTGATGAGCTGGGAGAGACAGACAGACCTACCTGTATGTGATGAGCTGGGAGAGACAGAGAGACCTACCTGTATGTGATGAGCTGGGAGAGACAGACAGACCTACCTGTATGTGATGAGCTGGGAGACCTGTATGTGATGAGCTGGGAGAGACAGACAGACCTACCTGTATGTGATGAGCTGGGAGAGACAGACAGACCTACCTGTATGTGATGAGCTGGGAGAGACAGACAGACCTACCTGTACCTGTATGTGATGAGCTGGGAGAGAGACAGAGAGACCTACCTGTATGTGAAAAGCTGGGAGAGACAAACAGACCTACCTGTATGTGATGAGCTGGGAGAGACAAACAGACCTACCTGTATGTGATGAGCTGGGAGAGACAGACAGACCTACCTGTATGTGATGAGCTGGGAGAGACAGACAGACCTACCTGTATGTGATGAGCTGGGAGAGACAGAGAGACCTACCTGTATGTGATGTGATGAGCTGGGAGAGACAGACCTACCTGTATGTGATGAGCTGGGAGAGACAGATGAGCTGGGAGAGACAGAGAGATGTACCTGTGTGATGAGCTGGGATAGACAGAGAGACCTACCTGTATGTGATGAGCTGGGAGAGACAGACAGACCTACCTGTATGTGATGAGCTGGGAGAGACACAGACAGACCTACCTGTATGTGATGAGCTGGGAGAGACAGAGAGACCTACCTGTATGTGATGAGCTGGGAGAGACAGACAGACCTACCTGTATGTGATGAGCTGGGAGAGACAGACAGACCTACCTGTATGTGATGAGCTGATGAGCTGGGAGAGACAGAGAGACCTACCTGTATGTGATGAGCAGAGATGGGATGAGCTGGGAGAGACAGAGAGACCTACCTGTATGTGATGAGCTGGGAGAGACAGAGAGACCTACCTGTATGTGATGAGCTGGGAGAGACAGAGAGACCTACCTGTATGTGATGAGCTGGGAGAGATGAGTTGGGAGAGACAGAGAGACCTACCTGTATGTGATGAGCTGGGAGAGACAGAGAGACCTACCTGTATGTGATGAGCTGGGAGAGACAGAGACCTACCTGTATGTGATGAGCTGGGAGAGACAGAGAGACCTACCTGTATGTGATGAGCTGGGAGAGACAGAGAGATCTACCTGTATGTGATGAGCTGGGAGAGACAGACAGACCTACCTGTATGTGATGAGCTGGGAGAGACAGAGAGACCTACCTGTATGTGATGAGCTGGGAGAGACTGAACCGATCCTTGATTACCAGACTGTCAATGGCCCGAATCAAAGGTTTACACAAGTGAAGCTTGTTGATCTGGAGTAAAAGAGACAAATAGTTGAAAAAGGAAACTAACAATTCTTATCATGCTGCTAACAGGATCCGGTGGTCAGACTTGCTGATTTGGTTGACACATGTCATCATATCCCAATAGTGTAGATTGATGCTCTTGCTGGTGATCACTGGACTGTCTGGTCCAGACTCGATTATTTACAGACGGCCGCCATATAGCTGGAATATTGTTGAGTGCGACATATAACTTAACTCACCCACTCACTCACTAATCATGCTAATAACCTACCTTGAAGTATATTTTGAACAGCTGGTTGACAAGATTCAACATTCCCCATTTCTTTGAGTCTTCCACGGCAGCTCGGCTGGAATAACACAAATTTGTACAGGAATAATAGAAAACCCTCAGAAGTACAACACTCAGACCAAAAAATCACCAAGCACCCAGAAGAAAATCATCAAGCACTCCGAAGACAATCATCAAGCAATCAGAAGACAATGACGAAGCTCCCAGAAGACAATCATCAAGCACCGAGAAGACAATCATCAAGCAATCAGAAGACACCCAGAAGACAATGACCAAGCTCCCAGAACACAACCATCGAGCAATCAGAAGACAATGACCAAGCTCCCAGAACACAATCATCAAGCAATCAGAAGACAATGACCCAGCACCCAGAAGACAATGACCAAGCTCCCAGAACACAATCATCAAGCAATCAGAAGACAATGACCAAGCTCCCAGAAGACAATCATCAAGCAATCAGAAGACAATCACCAAGCACCCAGAAGACAATGACCAAGCTCCCAGAAGACAATCATCAAGCAATCAGAAGACAATCACCAAGCACCCAGAAGACAATCACCAAGCTCCCAATGACCAAGCTCCCAGAAGAAATCATCAAGCAATCAGAAGACAATCACCAAGCACCCAGAGAATCACCATCACCAAGCTCCCAGAAAGACAATCACCAAGCAATCAGAACAATCACAATCACTGAAGCACCCAGAAGACAATCACCAAGCTCCCAGAAGACAATCACCAAGCACCCAGAAGACAATCACCAAGCACCCAGAAGACAATCACCAAGCACCCAGAAGACAATCACCAAGCACCCAGAAGACAATCACCAAGCACCCAGAAGACAATCATCAAGCAATCAGAAGACAATCACCAAGCAATCAGAGAGACAATCACCAAGCACCCAGAAGACAATCACCAAGCTCCCAGAAGACAATCACCAAGACAATCACTAAGACAGATCAATCACCAAGCAATCAGAAGACAATCACCAAGCAATCAGAAGACAATCACCAAGCACCCAGAAGACAATCACCAAGCAATCAGAAAGACAATCACCAAGCACCCAGAGAGAATCAATCATCAAGCAATCACCAAGCAATCAGAAGACAATCACCAAGCACCAGAAGACAATCATCAAAGCAAGACAATCAGAGACAATCACCAAGCACCAGAGAGACAATCATCAAGCAAGAAGACAAGACACCCAGAAGACAATCACCAAGCTCCCAGAAGACAATCATCAAGCAATCAGAAGACAATCACCAAGCAATCAGAAGACAATCACCAAGCACCCAGAAGACAATCACCAAGCTCCCAGAAGACAATCACCAAGCAATCAGAAGACAATCATCAAGCAATCAGAAGACAATCACCAAGCAATCAGAAGACAATCATCAAGCACCCAGAAGACAATCACCAAGCACCCAGAAGACAATCACCAAGCTCCCAGAAGACAATCACCAAGCACCCAGAAGACAATGACCAAGCTCCCAGAAGACAATCACCAAGCAATCAGAAGACAATCACCAAGCACCCAGAAGACAATCATCAAGCAATCAGAAGACAATCATCAAGTATGCATTTCCATGTTCTCTTTTGCTGAACATCTCATAACAGACATCGAAGTAGCTTTGTGTGTTTATACTTCAGATACTTGGTAACTGGTTGGAGGATTCATCAACTGCTGGCCATCTATGAAGTGAAATATCTGGGAGAACTGCTGATACAGTGTAAGTGTCTGCCACTGATTCAAATGAAAGAATGAGCAACCTTAAACACAGTTATAGACATGTGACTTACTTGTCGCTGGCACACACACGGAAGCAGCCCATGAGTAGCTCTGCTGCCTTCTCCATCCTCTCCCCGGGCTTGCCTCGACTCTTCATCACCGCCGGGCGTGTACGTCAGCCTGCAGCAGTCATACACACTGTAGAGACTGGAGGGTCAGGGGAGGGTTGTCAGGGGTGAGGTCTGGGATTCATTGTCTGGAGTGGGATCAGGGGAGGGGTTGTCAGGGTGAGGTTTGGGATTCATTGTCTGGAGAGGGAGGGTTGTCAGGAGGAGGGAGCGGGGTTGTCAGGCTTGGATGTCAGGGGTTGTCAGGCTTTGGATGTCTGGGTATATATATATTTTATCTTCGTTAAGCACAAAAATGCCGCTTTCTGATTGGCTGAGCGCTCTTTTATTGCTTTCAATGTATCCCGCTAACAAGTGAGTAAGATTTCAATGTACCCCGCTGTCAATGGCAACTCATTTGGTACTTCGTGGTAGTCATTCTTTATCTCGAATTACATTGAATCACATATGATGTACGGAAATTACTGATGTTTTGCGAATGCAAATCGATGGAAGGGAGATAACTCTAAATCTGTTTTCTTGTCAGCAAAATCTAGCTGCAAAAAGATTTGTACCCGTGCTTCAAACAATTCAAAATTGACATTAAGGTGTTCAGTAAGATAAATATGTTGTTCACTGGTCCTTCGGGGCCCATGGGTTGATGTACCCTCGATGTTTGTTTATGTTCCCCTCGCTCAGGGAACATAAACAAGCAAGAGACATCAACACCATGCCCCTCAATGACCAGTGAACAACAGCATGTATATACTGTCAGGGGTGGAGTGTAGTGGGGTTGTTGTGGTGGTGTTATCAGGACAAGCCTGGTTTGTCAGGATGTGACATGGGAAGAGGGTTATCAGGGTTGTAGGGTGGGTGTGAAGAAGAGGCTTGTCAATGGTGGTATCCGAGGTGTGATATAGCGGGTGGTGCAAGACAATCACCAGAGACAATCATCAAGCAATCAAAAGACAATCATCAAAGCAATCAGAAGCAATCAGAGACAATCACCAAGCACCCAGAACACAATCACCAAGCAATCAGAGACAATCACCAAGCACCCAGAGAGACAATCACCAAGCTCCCAGAAGACAATCACCCAAGTAATCAGAAGACAATGACCAAGCACCCAGAGAGACAATCATCAAGCAATCAGAGACAATCCAATCCAAGCACCCAGAGAGACAATGACCAAGCTCCCAGAAGACAATCACCAAGCAATCAGAAGACAATAACCAAGCAATCAGAAGACAATCATCAAGCACCCAGAGACAATCACCAAGCTCCCAGGAAGACAATCACCAAGCAATCAGAGACAATCATCAAGCAATCAGAAGACAATCACCAAGCAATCAGAGACAATCATCAAGCTCCCAGAGACAATCACCAAGCACCCAGAGACAATCCCACAAGCTCCAAACAGAAGACAATCACCAAGCACCCAGAAGACAATGACCAAGCTCCCCAGAAGACAATCATCAAGCAATCAGAGACAATCACCAAGCACCCAGAGACAATCACAAAGCAATCAGGAAGAAAATCACCAAGCCCAGAAGACAATCACCAAGCACCCAGAGACAATCCTGTCAAGCACCCAGAGACAATGACCAAGCTCCCAGAAGACAATCATCAAGCAATCAGAAGACAATCACCAAGCACCCAGAAGACAATGACCAAAGCTCCCAGAAGACAATCATCAAGCAATCAGAAGACAATCATCAAGTATGCATTTCCATGTTCTCTTTTGCTGAACATCTCATAACAGACATCGAAGTAGCTTTGTGTGTTTATACTTCAGATACTTGGTAACTGGTTGGAGGATTCATCAACTGCTGGCCATCTATGAAGTGAAATATCTGGGGCGAACTACTGATACAGTGTAAGTGTCTGCCACTGATTCAAATGAAAGAATGAGCAACCTTAAACACAGTTATAGACATGTGACTTACTTGTCGCTGGCACACACACGGAAGCAGCCCATGAGTAGCTCTGCTGCCTTCTCCATCCTCTCCCCGGGCTTGCCTCGACTCTTCATCACCGCCTGTACGTCAGCCTGCAGCAGTCATACACACTGTAGGGTCGGGGGAGGGTTGTCAGGGGAGTGAGAGTCTGGGATTCATTGTCTGGAGTGGGGGTCAGGAGGAGGGGTTGTCAGGCTTGGATGTCTGGGGTTTGTCAGAAGGTGGGTATATTATATTTTATCTTAACGTCGCACATAAATGTAAAGCTTTCTGATTGGCTGAGAGCTCTTTATTATTTTCAATGTATCCCCGCTAACAAGTGAGTAACATTTCAATGTACCCGCTGTCAATGGCAACTCATTTGGTCCTTAAGTGGTAGTCATTCTTTATCTCGAATTACATTGAATCACATATGATGTGCGAGAATTACTGATGTTTTGCGAATGCAAATGCGATGGAAGGGAGATAACTCTAAATCTGTTTTTCTTGTCAGCAAAATCTAGCTGCAAAAGATTTGTACCGATGCTTCAAACAATTCAAAATTGACATTAAGGTGTTCAGTAAGATAAATATATTTGTTCACTGGTCCTTCGGGGCCCATGGGTTGATGTACCCTCGATGTTTGTTTATGTTCCCCTAAGCTCAGGGAACATAAACAAACATCGAAAAACATCAACCCATGCCCCCCACGTGACCAGTGAACAACTTATAGTATTATATTACTGTCAGGGGTGGAGTGTAGTGGGGTTGTTGTGGTGGTGTGTTATCAGGACAAGCCTGGTTTGTCAGGATGTGACATGGGAAGAGGGGTTATCAGGGTTGTAGGGTGGGTGTGAAGAGAGGGCTTGTCAATGGTGGTATCGGCGGGGTGATATAACGGGTGGTGTAAGGATGGTGTGAAGGACTGACTGACTGAGTTTAGTTTTACGCCGCTTTTAGCAATATTCCAGCAATATCACGGCGGGGGACACCAGAAATGGGCTTAACACATTGTGCCCATGTGGGGAATCGAACCCGGGTCTTCGGCTGGTGTGAAGGATGGTGTGAAGGGTGGTTTGAGGGGTGGTGTAAGGGGGTGATCTCAGGGGTGGTGTGAGGGGTGATCTCAGGGGGTGGTGTGAGGGGTGATCTCAGGGGAGGTGTGGTGGTGGTGTAAAGGGGTGATGTCAGGGGTGTAGGAGTTGTGTAAGAGATGGTATGAGGGTGTGTGAGGGTGGTATATGGGGTTGTGTAAGAGATGGTATGAGGTGTGGTGTGAGGGTGGTATAAGGGGTTGTGTAAGAGGGGTGTGGTATATGGTATGAGGTGTGGTGTAAGGGGTGGTGTGTAAGGTGTGGTACAAGGGGGTGTAAGTGTAAGAGATGGTGTAAGAGATGGTGTGAGGTGTGTGTGTGAGGGGTGGCATAAAGGGGTTGTGTAAGGGAGATGGTATGAGGTGTGGTGTGAAGGGGTGGTGTGAGGGGGTGGTATAAGGGGTTGTGTAAGAGATGGTATGAGGTGTGGTGTGAGGGGTGGTGTGAGGGGTGGCATAAGGGGGGTGGTGTAAGAGATGGTATAAGGGGTGGGTGTGAGGGGGTGGCATAAGGGGTTGTGTAAGAGATGGTGTAAGGAGATGGTATGAGGTGTGTGTGGTGTGAGGGGTGGTGTGAGGGGTGATAGGTGGGTGAGGGGTGGGTGTAAGGAGATGGTATAAGGGGGTGGTGTGAGGGGTGGTGGTGTAGGGGTCGTATGAGGGGTGGTGTAGAGGGGTGGTATAAGGGGTGGTGTATAAGAGATGGTGCAGGGGGTGGTGTGAGGGGGTGGTGTGAGGGGGTGTATGGGTATAAGGGATAGTGTGAGCAGTTGTGTAAGGGGTGGGTTAAGGGGTGGTGTGAGGAGTTGTGTGAGGGGTGGTGTGAGGGGTGGTGTAAGAGATAGTGTAAGAGATGATATGAGGTGTGGTGTCAGGGGTGGTGTAAAGGGGTGGAGTAAGAGATGGTGTAAGAGATGGTATGAGGAGGTGTGGTGTCAGGGGATGGTGTGAGGGGGTGGTATAAGGTGGTGTGGTGTAGAGGGGTGTGTGAGGGTGAGTGTGTAAGGGGAAGTATGGTGTGAGGGGTGGTATAAGGTATGGTGTGAGCAGTTGTGTAAGAGGTGGGTTAAGGGGTGTTGTAAGGGGTAGAATCAGATGGTGATACCAGTAGGAGCGTGTTGTGTCAGGAATAAGTCTGGGGATGGTGGAGCTGGTAAGGGTGTCATACAGAGTTTGAAAAGGGGGAGGTGTCATCAGAGGTTGGTATCTTTGGGCATCAGGGATGATGTCTGGAGTGCAGTCAGGGGTGGTGTCAGGGGTGGTGTCAGGGGTGGTGTCAGTGGTTTCATCAGAGTATACTTCAGATTATGACTGTTTGCAAATAGGTTCGAATTTCTGCAAAAGACAAAATGCAAATTTTCCACCCAGGAACACAAAGGTGACTACTTACACTGATGGCGAACCGACGGAGATCCAGACACACGCTGAACATGAGGGGCAGGGACCAGTTCTCCTCCTTCTGACTCTGCATGGCCTTGGTGAAGGCTGTGTCATAGGTCAAGGTCAATGTACATCCATAATGAATCCAGGGATAGGCTCACATGCAGTTTGGGCCAAACCATTATCTGACATATGTTTCAGTCATAAACTCAGAGAGGCCCGGGGACAAGTACAATTACACTTCAACGTTAATTTATACATGATCATAATCATGGGAAAATTACAACACAGACTTATCTACGATTCAAACAGAGTGCGTTTAGTCAAACCCATGAGCCTGGGTATGGTGTGACCAACTAGAAACAGAATTTGAGTGCACTAGGATTTGAACCAATGATCACAGGTGTCTGACCAACCCAGGGGATGCAGCTCTGCAGTACAAAATGTGACATCTTAGATTACTGCTCAGGGTTTAAACAAAACTGTTTTTCCTGAATTGAGAAACGTTTTAACATTCACTGAAAAAATGTCCTATGAGTGAGTGTGAGCGAGTGAGTGAGCAGTTTTACGCTACACTCAGCAATATTCCAGCTATATAATAGCGGTCTATAAATAATCGAGTCTGGACAATCAAGTGATCAACAGCATGATCATTGATCTACGCAACTGAGATATGATGACATGTGTCAACCAAGTCAGGGAATCTGACCACCCGATCTCGTTAGTTGCCAGCTATGACAAGCATGGGTTACTGAAGACGAATTCAAACCTGCATCTTACCGGATAATGTCCAGTGAATTACTAATAGAATACAAAGTCTTTTCTTCTTAATTCTCCCTTTTTACTGTGGTTATATTATAATATAAGCTTAATACTGATAGTATTGAAAAATAATTATAACTGGGATAGGTCTATTCTACATTTGAGACCTGTGAAGGTCCGGGTTAGAATATTGATCTTCAGTAACCAATGCTTGTCGTAAGAGGCGACTAATGGGATCGGGTGGTCAGGCTCGCTGACTTGGTTGACACATGTCATCGGTTCCCAATTGCGCAGATCGATGCTCATGCTGTTGATCACTGGATTGTCTGGTCCAGACTTGATTATTTACAGACGCCGCCATATAGCTGGAATATTGCTGAGTGCGGTGTAAAACTAAACTCACTTGTTCACTCTACATTTGAAATTTCTTTTAGCATGTTGCTGACATTTGGGGCAGGGCAAATCCCAACATGAACACTTGTAATGCCGGGTAAGTAAAGGATATTGTACAACGACAGCCTGACAGCCGTACGCCTCAATGAAATCATGATTGGCAACAGCCCAACAGCATCTGGTGGAGAAAAGCATTATTATTAACACAACAGTTGAAACATAGAAACATCTTCAACAATGTCACGATACGGCATAAAATAAACACATTCACTATGAATTATTGTTCTCCACAGGTTCATATATTATGTTATGAATACATGATTTCTGTCCATTGAGAAGACTTACATTTTATATTTGCAACCCAGGGCCCATTCATTGCACAAAGTGATCCTAGTTCTGTGATCATTGTAAGCTTATGTTGGAGAATGGGCCTTACAGTTGTCTTAACACTGGTGGTGGTGGTGTGTGGTCCTGTGCACAGAGCTCAGGTCGCAAATCAGTTGAAGTTAAGCAATGCCGAGCAGGGAGAATCCTTTTATGGGTGATGGTGTGGCAGCTTGACTCCTAAAAGTTTCTAGGACTTCAGTCCTGCCCTACAACGAAGCACATGTGATATATGTGGTCTCACCTTAGCAAGTGAGTTTGTTCTAAAGTGCCTCTGTTCACCAGCAGAAAATGGGTACCTGGTGGGATAAGTCATGTGACTATAATCTTCTAGCGCCTCACAGGCAGCTTGGGTTATCTTGGGTAATAATGAGCTGTCCAAGCGCTTGGGGCAGACACTTAGTTCCTGGAGTATTTAACGCTATAGAAATACACTCATTGTTGTTATTAACACTAAGATCAGTTTATGCCACTGGTCCCTTATTTTCTTCTTATTATTATTAATGTCTAGTGTCATGTGTTAACAAGGGAAATGTGTTAAAAGATGAAGCTTGTGGAGATGCTGCCTGACGTTCAAGCATTAAAGGAATACATGTGATACAAGGACTGTTGGCTGCATCAGTATACTGCGTCTGGGTAGGGAATAAAAAATTCTGTATCTCAGTGGTCAAGCATTATAAAACTACACGCCCACACATACACACACCCATTCCCACCCGCCACAACCCACACTCACAAAATTAGCTATACCTGTGCTATACTTTTGAACACAATGTTAAATCCCATTTCAGCTCCCATAGAAGCAGAGCTCTGATGAACATGATGAGCAGACGTGATGAACTTACTAATACTTCTGCCTTGAACCTTGACCTAGACTTGAATATCATTTTCATCAGTAAGACACATACGACATAGCAAGAAAGATGAGTCTATCTCAAAATGCCCCAACACAGACCCACAGAGCAGCAGCGAACATGTATTTATAAAACACTGGACAGGGAATAAGCTGACACTGGGCCAATGTAGACTAACAACTAGGAAATGAACATATTTTACTGAAAAAGTTCATAGTAGAAAAAAATAAAAATATAATGAAAAGGAGCCAGCTGAGGATCTAGACTTGCCACATTTTCAGACTGGTGTGGGCTTTCTTGGATATATTTCACTTCAGGGTCTGTATACAGAGACTAGGCTCAATGGTGAAACTTTACCAGCAGATCCTAACATGGACGAGTTGACTATGGTCACCCCTCCATACAGAGACAAGCGTATCAGTTGTAACAGTACTCTACCTGATATGGGCTGCTACCATTTCATCGTAGGGGGGATCCAGGACCCTCTGCACTTGTGACTCAGGGTGTTCCAACTGGCACCGAGGACTCGCAATGTGGGCGTGTTGAAATGACAACAATTCCTGCAAACAACAAGTAAACTGTCCAAAGTGTTACCATGGTTATGTTGTTGAGAGATTCAGTTGAATACAACAACTACATCAGGGCCGTACGTCGACTCACACATGGGGGTCCAGTGGACCCCAAGTTATTATTTGTAAGGGTCTTTGCAGGCAATATGAGGGTCCTATGAAGTAATGGTTTAAACTGTATGTTTTGATAACTTCTGTAGAGCCTGGAATGAATCATTGATCATTTGGACTGATGGACGAAATGATGCGAGTAACTGCTCTGAAAGAAACAACCAAACACGACAAAATAATAGATGTTTTGTGGGTACAGAGAATAATATTGTGCGTCCCTCTGGATGCAGTGATTTATTTTCAGCATCCATTCTCTACATTTGTGCTACATAAACTCCTGCTATATAGACATGATAGATCTTTGAGTAATATACTATGTTTACACAATTCCCCTTTGGTCTAAGGCAAGTACAGATACAAGATGACCGATAAGTGTTTAAGTAAGTGCAACAGGCATAAGGCTTCTGGATTTGAATAACAATTTGGATTTGGACCACATACCTCTGAGATCAGATGCCTTGCCCACATAATCAAAAGGTGAGGTGAGGTGAAATTAGGTTTTACGTCGTGCTTGAGAATATTTCGCTCATATGACGACGTGCATGCGTGTGTATGTGTATATGCGGCTGCTTTTACTAGCCCAGACTTAAGCTGGTTTTATAGTGCTAGCCCACTGAGATACCATGCCGCAGTGAAGCATGAATACCCAACTCAGACACATTATACTGACTCCGAGCCGACCAGTCCTTGTTGTACCCATTAATGCCGAGCGCCAGGCAGGGACCAACAAGTACCATATTTTAACGTGTTTTGGTATGACGCGTTCGGGGATCGAACCTGCGACCTTTCGCTCTTGGTGCGGACGCTCTAACCACTACACCACGGAGGCGGTGATCAAAAGGTTAACTCACCTGTGTAATCACACTACAAACTTGCCACATAACCTAAGATCCTGTCTACACAATCACTTATTATCATGATTATCTACACTTTATATGCAAATAAATTAGTTATAGTTTTCTTTAGCAAAGCATTGATGGTTTAAACAATAGTCAATATGTTTGTACAGTTCCTTCTGAACTTATCTAAATGTAACATTCATTATACATACCCCTGCTGACAGTCCATCTTTGTTTTGTAGAGCATAGTCAATCTGGAAAAATCAAATTGGGAATATGGAGTATTAAATTCTCAGTCGGTATGTTTTAGTGCACGTGACAAATGCACATATGAAATTCTAAGATGCTTCGGTGAATGATCAAAGGCATCGACAGTACTTTTTCAGACGATAATGTGCACTTTTTGCATTACGTCACAATGTATTTACGTCACTGCGCCATTCTAGTCTGCCCCCTCATAATCGAACACTTTTGCATTATGTCACAAAGTAACCGACGTCACGATGCATGTCAGTTGTCATCGCCCCATACAGCCTCCAACAGTAAACTACTCTGTTGCATCCCGTTTCTTGGTTTGCAGTTGCTTCACGCAGCTAACGTCACTGGTGGAAACGTTAGGTCTATGTTTTCCGACGTTTAAAATGTCTCAATTCGACTTACAAGTTTTCAGCGACACGGTAATGTTCGCAATGTGTACATTCCCACAATTTCAATCGTGGAATGTCGCTTAACTACTCAGCTTCATCTGGATGTACTGATCTAAACTTACGTTGGTAGTAGAAATGCGACGTTCATATTGCACCATATGGTTTACGTTAATCACAGATGTAATTAAAATAATTTAGAGAAGATATTTAATCCAAACGTAAACCGTCATCAAACTGTCTATCATTTGTTTTTTTCTGGTAACGTTCGTGTTAACGCAGGGGGAGCAGACACATCAATAGAACAGCGCGCCAGTTAGCCCTGTGCGAAGATATTTAATTTAGATCACCGACACCGTCGTTTGTTTTCTGCCTTAGAGTAATCGTAATTGTCCTTTGAAAGTATTAAATTTGGCATCTTAGAAAAGAAATACAGTTCGTTCTACCACCATGTATAGTGTAATAAAGCACACTTTCGCCCTTAACTATTATAGTTAAAGCACGAGGACACTCATGGTAGAGCGAACTGTATTTTAATCAGAGACCATATAATATGGTCTGTGTAGTTCAGCAAGCTAAACGTCGTGTATGCCTTGGCAGGAACACGACGTTTAGCTTGCTGAACTAATGGTCTCTGATGAAAATGGGAATAAAAATGTTAAGGAGATTTTCTACTATTAAATATGGGAGGCATTCATACTCCTTTAAGAGTTTAACCTTGACAAATGTAAAAACACAAAAATAGTCATCTGATTCAACAACTAAAACATAACCTTACCGACTGTAAAAAACGAATTTAAAGAAACGTGCGCCATGTTGTATGAATTATCTCCCTTGGATAATACTTACTCATAGCTACAAAGTGCGCGTCAAAGGCTCACTTCAAACGAACAAGAAGTATGTCAAACCATTTCCTTTCTCCAGCTTTCCGCAGTTTCCACATATGACTAAAAGAAGGGAAAGCGTTTCTCGATAACAACTGAAGGTATTTCTCCGTCCATCTGATTTCCTTATCGTTGCTGATCACCTTTGTATTCCATTTCTTTCGTATTCATTACGGTCTTTTAAGCGTTTCTATGTAAATTATGATATTATGAATAATGATCTGTTTATTCATTGCCACACTGATAAAATATCAATCATAAAAATACCAATATCCCTATTTTGTCCAGTATATATGTTCCGGTATGAACTTTAATTACCAATTATTTTTGTTTTTGTTTGTTTGTTTTTTGTAAGTAATTCGACTTCCCTTGACAACACAACGATTTCTCTATGTAACATATGTCATATTTGGGATTACACTTTCTTAGTAAAGTACAGATTCTAGTACTTTTTGGGTTGAGTCCCATCCGGAACTAGAATCTGTACTTTACTAAGAAAGTGTAATCCCAAATATGACATATGTTGCATTTGACCACTTTCTAAAATGGCATTGTGTATTTTCATTTCTCTATGTCTTCACCAGAAGTATTACTTTTAATTTAGTCTTCATTTTCAAATATTAAAGCAAAAGTACGCTTCGGCTGAACTGTTTCATATCCATTTTATGATCCTCGTTGTTTTGTTTAGGAGTAGATTTACATTATAAACTAATCTTAACAAATTTATTTCACTTCACGAAATAATCGTCCAACCTTTTCTGCTTCATAAATCTTCAGGTAGAAAACTGAAGACACTTTACCGTGAAGAAAAAGTTTAGATTTTTACGTATATTTATGGTGGTAGGACAATAGGCCCACAAGGACGTAACACCCTCAGACAAAACACCCCTAGGCTAAATGCCCCCAAGACAAAAAGCCCTCAACGGGTAGGACAAAAGGTCCTCAATGAAGAGATGTAATAGAATACCAACAAATCTTCTTCTTTTTTATATATAATACAATATAATATAACATTAAATAGCATATGTAATAGCACATACTTCAAAATGTAAATCACCAAGCACATAATGCTATTGAAACAATAGGCCAATTCAAAAATTTATTACAATCATCAAAACCACTGAATTTTAATATATTTGATAAAAACTTTGGTACACGTTTCTGCCAAATTATCCACTCAGACTCGGGTGCAGTGATTTGAAAGCGCACATGTTTGAACGGCACATTTCAGTTGATCCATTCTGTTCCTGTGGTCACCCTATGAGGATACTTTACATTACTTCTTTACTTGTCCTAATTATTCCAACATCAGATATCACATGTATTTTTACGAACATGGATATAATTTAAATTCTGTCCTAAATGGTAATCCAAACAAACATAAACTTGTAAATTCTTTTATCTGTCCATACTTTTATAATAAATTCAGATTGGTTTGATAAATGGTTAATGATGTTCAATACGCAGGTTCTTTGCTTTCCTATCATGCTGCATATTATTTAATATTTGTTTTATTCATGTTTGATTAAATACATATAATATTAAATTTTAACACACGTCATGTATACCCTGAGACGGGTAGTTCATTCTATATATCCTGGGTCAAGTAATGTGACCATTTCACAAGTGTGTGATGTGAGCTAATAAACAATGCTACATCGATAAATGACATATACGTCTAAATAAATCTAATATTTAATTACGGAATAGTATTTCCATGGTAATGCCGAAAGTTACAGACATACGGTGTCACGCTTGCGGTCAGTTTAACTTTTAACAATGCCACCTTTTGTACTTGATTGTACAATCGGGGATTAAGTCGATCAGTAATTAATGTCAACACTTTGATTGATGACATTTATGACGTCATCCGTTATACTCCATTCTTACTTCACACTGAACGATATATCTGAAGGTTAAAGAAAACTTGACACTTGAAATATCTAGACACGACAAACAAAACACGAGTCTTCATTGTCTGCTTAACTTAGATACAAGACTAAATACTTATATGTCGGTGTGTCTGGTTTTAGGAGGAGGGCCAGTTATATAGGTGTAGTTCTGTCTTTTAAATCCAAGTTCGTCTTTTAATCCAACCGAGTCCCAAAATTACGTCAGCGTGACTTGTGAATCATTGATGTGGTGCTTTTGGATATATAAGTTGATATTGGTAGGTATTTCCCTGTTAATATGTATTGTTACAATATGTGTTGGTCTATGTATATGAATATATTTAGAGTGGTTACGTATAAACTTCGTAAGTATTTGGATTCGATTCGTTTATTTAACACTGAAGAGACTGGACACACACATTGTCTTTATTTAACAAACAATATGTTTGCTTCTTGGTATGTATGTATGTATGTATGTATGTATGTATGTATGTATGTATGTATGTATGTATGTATGTATGTATGTATGTATGTATGTATTTACAGCAATATTCCAGCAACATCACGGCGGGGACACCAGAAATGGGCTTCACACATTGTACCCATGTGGGGATTCGAACCCGGTCTTCGGCTAACCACAAGGCTACCCCACCGCCCCGTATGTATGTAGGTAGGTATGTAGGTAGGTAGGTAGGTAGGTAGGTAGGTAGGTAGGTAGGTAGGTATGTATGTATGTATGTATGTATGTATGTATGTATGTATGTATGTATGTATGTATGTATGTATGTATGTATGTATGTATGTATGTATGTATGTATGTATGTATGTATGTATGTATGTATGTGTGTGTGTGTGTGTGTGCGTGCGTGCGTGCGTGCGTGCGTGCGTGCGTGTGTGTGTGTTGTAGTGTGTACTTAATGTCTGTTTATGACTGACTGACTGACGCGTTTTGCCGCTTTTAGCATAGCAACATGACACCAGAATGGGTAACATTGAATCCATGTAGGGATTCGAACCCGGGTCTTCGGCGTGACGAGCCAACGCTTTAACCATTAGGCTACCCCACCGCCCCGTATGTATGTAATGTATGTGTGTGTGTGTGTGTGTGTGTAGTAGTAGTAGTAGTGTGCAGAATCTACAGTTAACTGATTTGTGACACAATATTACATTTCTGTCTGACGATATCTTTAAGAAGAACTAACTGCAACATCACTTGAAGTGTGATTGACTTTATGTGTGTATTTGTGAGAGAGAGACGGAGGGAGTCAGTGAGTGAGTTGGGAATAACGCCCGGTGTCATTAAAGATACTTTGACACACAGATTCCACCTTCTATATTCTTTCTGTGTGCATGAAATGTTTTTGTTAAAACAAACAATTAAGAGGAAGCTATCGCCGTGCTTCCGTTTGTTCAAAGGCCAGGAATATTTGCAAGATTCTGGTGCGGCGACGAATAACACTCACTCATTAATACAAACTCTTATAGCGCAGTAAAATCATGATCATTGTTATTATCACCATCATCTTGTAGTACTTCACCTTTTCTTGACAACAGTATAGGAATCTAAAACGACGCAGCGTGCTATAATAAAGAAGTTGTCATCCATAAAATATCCTACCTTACTTGCATAATAACAATTATGTTTGGATTTCTTTGATGGGCATTTTAGAAGTTGAGTTGATGAAGAACGATGACAATTATTATGGATATACAACTTCTTTTATTCTGTGAAAGGCGACGTTTCGACATAGATCCTCATGTCGTTGTCAAGTATCTGACGACATTAGAATCTATGTCGAAACGTCACCTTTCACAGAATAAAAGAAGTTGTACATCCATAACATTATGATCGTGCTTCAATATGTTTGGAGCGCTGATCTCTATGAGAGGTTAAGTACGATGTAAGACAATGTGCATGTGTTGACAATGAAGTGTGTGTGTGTGTATGCGCGCGCGAGGGCCATTGTCTTAATCTGTGCTTTTCATATCTGTTTTTTATGCTGACGGAGTTTGTCGCTCAATTATGTAGCCGTTCATATACAAATTCATTGGATAACAAACATTCGAATAAGTGTCATGGTAGTAACAAATATGGCTCTTATATAAAGTACCATTTCAGACTTCCACTTCCGGTCATAATAATGGAGAATGAGGAGGGGGATTTAAGAAACGTGCAACTGGTTTTCCCTCAAAATGGAAATATCGAAAACTATACCCTCGAAGATTTGTGCGACAAGAAAGCAATATATGTAGGAGAAGCAGTTGAAAGTGCAATAATTGTCACGTGCCCCAACGAAAATCAGAAAGAAGCATGGAAACGACGTATAACACAGCTCGCCGGCCACTGCTGTTTTGGGCAGATCAATAACAGCCCAAACAAAAAGACAACGGCTGCAAAATCAAATGATGGCAATGATTCGTTTGTAACATGTTCAGTTTCTGCCACATACAACACAGCGATTTTTAACAGACAACCTCTATCGGCGCAACCGACCAGCTCTCTGGTGAGTAGTATTTCCCATCGGTTTCTGCCTGTTTCGATCAGTATGAACATGATGAATATTACGTAGTTTGGTTTTCTTTCTGGGTGCCAGTCAAATCGCCCAGCTACAAAACGCCCCAGCTAATTTGGTCAAAATGCCTCGGATTTTTTTTGTCAAATCGCCCCAGGTATTACCATGATTACTAGAATATGATATGGAAGTTGACAAAAACTATGCATTTATGGCATATCGTCCGGTCACATAACTTCGATCGTAACATAAAGATATATTTAACCATTTTAAATAAATTGGGGCATTTTGACTACCCCGCTGTGGCAATTTGACGACACCGGGGGCGATTTGACCAAAACTCTGGGGCATTTTGACCAAATTGGCTGGGGCGATTTGACTGGCGCTGATCTTTCTGACATCCTTCCCTGCTCACCTTGTGTTCAATCTGAGTGACAGAGTGTATAATAGTAGACGATATTAAGTTTCACAGACTTAATTCAGTATTCGTAACAATAATATGGTGTAAGTGTAGATTTTGTTATCCTGCGACCAGCCAATAGCTGGGGTTTGGGTGTCTCTTCCACTCATTTGTGTAACATTTATTTCTGCCCAGTTGTTCAAAATGTCACAACTTGCGGTAGTACTGGTACTTACTGGTAATCGCTGTAGTAAATCATTTGATTAAAATATGAGTTTGTTTGCTTGATCATTTGGACCTTGCCATCAGTCTTTGGTTGTTTCAAATCATCATGGTGGCACAAGACATCGTATCCCAATTACATATATTAATGTTCATGATATTGATAACTGGATTGTCTGGTCCAGACTCAATTATTGACAGACTGTAACCATATAGCTGAAATATTGCTGATAAACAACAAACAAACAGATTCATCATATTAAATTAATGGGAACACAAATAACCACGGAAACAGTTTCCCACAGTTGCAGATATTGTTCATGTAGATTGTTGTTATGTTAAAATCATAAACATGATATGCAGGAAAAATTATGTTTTGAAACTACTATAATAATCATGGTTTCTATCAATACTAATCATTGTTTCCTCACCACTTATTTCAGATCGTGAAGCCATATTTCTTCAATGACAACACTTTCATCCTCCCTCTACAAACAGTGTTGAACAACCTGTCCACCCCCTCCAATGATCAGAAGGTTTTGTTCAGTGTCACAGTCTGGCTGTGTGCTTCACCAGCAAAGCCAACACCAGACCAGGAAGCGAAGAAAGACTTCCAGCTTACCAGTTTTGTCAGTCTTAAGAGTAAAACGGTTCAGGAGAAAACAGGTTGGTTGAAACACAATCATTTTTAATCCAGAGGCCATTCCACATTGTGTCACTGCCTGTGGTAAAGCGAGGGAGTTACTGGCAAACAAGGATAAGTTGGACCGGTGCAGAGAGCTCGTTTACGAGAAGTAGGCAGTGCACGGCAATGAGCAAATCCATTTGGTTTGCATGTGCATTGCATGATTGCATGACAATGATACTGGTTCCATGCATAGCCTCTCTCTCTCCATTTTATGGAATTGTCAAAGTAGATACACTCTCAAATGCGTCAGCGGAAATTGTCCGTTGTGTTATTAAGAAAGTATGTAGTGTTGAGAAAGGCTCTAAACATGTACATTTTCCTTTATATCTTTTGATATTAAAACTAAATGTCAAGAAAAGTGGGAACTTCAGTTTGTAGTGAAGTGTGTTCAAAGTTATACAGTTTGCAACTATCAGTAAGTAATTAGTCGAATATTAGCTACTAACACTTTTTGTTTAAACTTAAATATGCTCAGAGTGATCTTTGTGTTTTAGTAATGAGCAAATGGAAACTATCAGGCACTTCCTAGGGACTGTGATGTCATTAAGAATTTTTGGAATGAATTTCTCCAATGGATAGGCAAATGTGATAATGTCTACAACATGCAACTATCCACAGGGCTTGTCTTGTTTGGTGTGAAGGAAATTGTGGTTACCCACAAGATATTTGACTTTCTATTGCAAAGTTTTTCCTATCACTGTCTACTCTTTTCAAAAAAGATGCTGCATATGGATATACACTCGAGAGAGCAATAGCGTCTCTCTCTCTCTGTCTCTCACATGCGTGCAGAGCACTTGACACATGCTGTAGAACACAGTTGTTATGGAAACCCCTTGTTTTAATTAAACTTTGAGGCATGTGAGATGAGAGAACTGAGATCTATGTTATATTTTCAGTGAGCAAGGAGCTGACAGTCATCAACCCGCCAGTCCTTGGTATGAAGCATGTTCCAGCTGGGGGTAGTCAGCTGCTGCTTCTGCAGAGTAAGTCCCAGTTATACCTTGATCCTTGTTGGTTGGTTGTTTAGCGCCGCTCTCAGCAATATTCCAGCTTTATGGCTGCGGACTGTAAATAATCAATTTTGGACCAGACAATACAGTGATCAACAGCATGAGTGTCAATCTACACAAATGTGATGCAATGACATGTGTAAACCAAGTCAGCGGCCCTGACCACCTGCACCTGTTAGTCGCCTCTTACGACAATCATGGGTAGCCGAAGATCAGTTCTAACCTGGATCTTGAGGTCCTTGGGAACCCAAGTTACCAATTTTACCGGTTATATGCTGATTCTGTACAGTACTGAGCATAAGATTTAGTAATGATTTTATTTACAGGAACCTTATATTTCTTACTGTTTTGTGTTAAAGTGTGGTAAGTAAATCAGCAGATCACCCAGATGATATTCTCGAAACTTTTGTGTTCAGAGTAAAATGTAATCAGAGATCTATCAAAGAAAACTAGGTTTATTTGAACTCTGTCAAATGTTCAAAGAAATAGCTCCTTAAGGTCATGTTTTATGAATGCTGCAGCAGTCAATCTGTGTGACTAAGATATTGTTAGCTTCTTCTCTGTAGCCAAAATCTTGTTGACATTATAGGGATAAAAGAAGGATTGGTGTCCATGTTAAACTGTGTTATGGCGTCTCATTGGGCCAGCATTGCATAACACATGGGCATACACTCATACACTCATTACTATGTAATAAGCTTGCATATAATTCAACCCATTTTGCCTAATTACACAATGTAAAAATAATGCATGACATTAAAACCCATTTTGCCTTCATAAACTGTGTAATAATCTTGCATATGACATTCAACCCATTTCGCCTACACACATAGCCCCTCTATGGTTCATCCCTTAATGAGCATTAGTCTTAAGGAAACCTTGACCTTTACTGACTTGTGCTTCAGTCAACAACACGACGGGGAAGTCCCTCCTCATCCACGACTGCAGCATCCTCCCAACAAGAAGGAAGATAAACCTGAGGCCTCAGACACAGACTCCACTGATAATGAAAAGTATTCATCTCTTACGTCTTATGTTATATAGGCTGTTCAAAGTATTTTGTGGTTTTATTTCAAGAGAATGACATGCTAATATAAACATTACCGATGGCTTGAAAAAACTTCTCCACATAAATTCTTAAACAGGAATTCTTAACACATTGGTTGTTTGTTTGTTATCCCCCACAACAACGAAGTTGCAGGGGATAAAGAAACGAGTTCCCCCCCCCTTCCGTCTGTCACACTTTGTCCGAAGCATATCTCCTGAACTATTCGTTATAGCTTAACCAAAGCGGTACACATGTCAACCATGATCCCTAGATGTGCCTTTTGGGGGTTAGACCCAGAAATGGTATATATGTTTTGCTGTTTCCATGGAAACGTGACTTAGGCTGTGACTTTGAGGATGTCATCTTGTCCGGAGCAGATCTCCTAAACTATACATGCTAGCTTCATCAAACTTGGTACACATATCAAGAATGATCCATAGATGTGCCATTTGTTGGTTAGACCTAGATACAAATTTATTTTTTGTGGTTTCCGTGGAACCTTACTTAGGCTGTGACTATGAGGATGTCATCTTGTTGCATTTCCATGGCAACAAGTTAGGCTTCAACTGAATTTGGTGGTAGTGCTCGTTTCTGGAGCAGATCTTAAAAACCTTTCAATACTCTCCTTTCACTTTGCTATATACACTCCAAAACATTTGACAGAATCATAGTTAGTAGACATATTCATAAAGAGTATTTTGCCGTTGCGGGGGATATTGACGACTTTGTCTTCTTGTTTTGTTTGTTGTTTAACACCACTCTCAGCAATATTCCAGCTATATGGCAGTGTCTGTAAATAATCGAGTCTGGACCAGACTATCCAGTGATCAACAGCATGAGCATCGATGTGCGCAATTGGGAACCGATGACATGTGTCAACCAAGCTCAGCGAGCCTTACCACCCAATCCCATTAGTCGCCTCTTACGACAAGCATGGGTTACTGAAGATCAATATTCTAACCCGGACCTTCATTTGTAATCGAGTTTGGACCAGACAAACCAGTGATCAACAGCATGAGCATCATTCTATGCAATTAGGATACAATGACATGTGTCAACCAAGGCAGTGAGCCTGACCACAGATCGTGCTAGTCATCTCTTATGACAAGCATGGGTTGCTGAACACCAATTCTAACCCGGATCTTGCTTGGGAAATATATAGATGCAGCAACAAATCTCAATGCCATGATTGGATTTAGTTAGATTTCGTGTAGTCTCAGATAAGTCACTTTAACATTTCAGCCCCTTTTCGCGGGAAAGCGGGTGTGGTCTGATCTCGCCCCTGTCGTCTGACTCCCTATCCTTCCCCGTCACGTTGCTGAGTCAGGAGAAGCTGTCCCTTGCATATACGCTCTCAACTGATGACCTTGACACAGAGGTCATGGAGCAGGTAAGTGGAGGTCACACTTCAGATGAGATATCTTTGGTGTGGAAAGTGCTCTGTAGAATAAGATTGAAATATTATATCCAATTTTCATGTCACATGAAGCTTGTCCTAAGCATTCTTAGCCATCAAATTTTGGAAAAATAACAAGTACTATGGTAGTCTTTCCTCATCCTTTATTCTGGTCGGATCTACAAGCTGAACCACAATGGTTAATCCAGGAACTGGTACTTATAGAACCAAACTGTAAAACCACAGAATAAATGCAAAAAAAGTATTTTTAAGAATTAGAACTTACTAAGTATTAAATACAAGAATTGCATGAAACATCCCTGGCCTATGTTTGAAGTCAGGGGGGCGGGGGGTAGCCTAGTGGTTAAAGCATTCACCTGTCACACTGAAGACCCGGGTTCAGTTCCCCACATGGGTACAAGTTGTGAAGTGTGAAGCTCATTTCTGGTGTCCCTCACAGTGATATTGCTTGAATATTGGAAAACGGTGTAAAACTAAACTCACTAACTCACCTGAGGTCAGAATTGTGTTTGAAGATGACACGATTTTAGTATTTGCAGATCAATTCCCACAAGGTTAATCTATAACAAAGGGCGGTGGGGTAGCCTAGTGGTTAAAGCGTTTGCTCATCATGCCGAGGACTTGGTTTGGATTTCCCACATGGGTACAATGTGTGAAGCCCATTTCTGGTGTCCCCAGCCATGATATTCCTGGAATATTGTTAAAAGCGACATAAAACTAAACTCACTCTCTGTATGTAACAAGGTTGAAAGTGAAGTACACAAGTAATGCTTTAGTTTGTGTTTTCAGGAGCTGACCTTGAAAGGGTTCCTGAAGTGGAGTCACAAGGATGTGATTGGTGAAAAACCCGAAATAATAACTGTGTTCAAATAAGCCACTTCTGTGTTCAAGTAAGCCACTTCATTTGTCAATGTTTCCAACAGTGCAGATGCCCGAGAGGCGGAAAGATGACACATTACCAAAGAAATTAATAGTGTATGTTTTCCAGTCTCAAGTGAAGACAAGGCCTCTCGGAGTCAGGTGTGTGTCTGAGTGGGGTCATGCTTCACTGCGGCGTCTCGTGGGCTAGCACTATAAAACCAGCGGAAGGTCTGGGCTAGTACAAGTTCGATACACCCGACCATGCGCCGTCATCATACCAAAAGACGTTAACAAAGGTACTTGTTGGTCCCTGTCTTCAGTTACATCTTCTAAGCAACTGATATTAGCTGAAAGACTTTCTGATGTGCAAATATAAGGAAAACTCCACCTGAAAACCTCTGAAAGGCTTTCAGACACATTTCAAAGTAACCGCAACATCTGGTATCAAACTCATGCAAGTGATGAAATAAACTAAGGTCTAACTCATTCCATGATCATAGATTTTAATACAGATTTTGTAAGTTCTGCTCCTACCATACTTGTCCTCAGCTTACACACTATCAGAAAGAAATTAACGTTCATAATTCAGGATAAGTATAAAATATCAATTTTACTCAGAAAATTACATACTTTTCACTTATTTTAGCCATACTTACAAACTTGGACTCATCCGAGGTCCTTGAATTGCATTTAGGAGAAAGAGACTTGGCTAGTTGTTAACCATTTTCTGTAACTTGCATATCTGACATTTCTATCTGACACTGCCAACCTCATCCTTTGCATCTATTTGGTTGATGAGTATAGAAGTAACGGAACGGAAGATACAGAGAGAATCTCACTTGAGTGTCTTTTGATATCAAATATATCACCACGAGTTGATAAAGTTACAAATATCCCAGGCTTGCCGAGCATACTTTTACTTTTATCAACGAGTGTTGATATATTTGATATCAGGAGACACGAGGGTGAGATTCTATTGATCATCAAAAATCACTCTTCATTAGTTTTCTATGAGTGAGTGAGTGAGTTTAGTTTTACGCCGCACTCAGCAATATTCCAGCTATATGGCGGCGGTCTGTAAATAATCGAGTCTGGACCAGACAGTCCAGTGATCAACAACATGAGCATCGATCTGCACAAATGGGAACCGATGACATGTGTCAACCCAGTCAGCGAGCCTGACCACCTGATCCCCTAAGTCGCTCCTTACAACAAACATGAGTTACTGAAGATCTAGATTCTAACCCGGACCTTCACGGGTCAGTTTTCAATGAAAAATGTACATGTCTGAACACGGTACTGCCATTAGATTTGCAGTGCAGTGAGGTCATAGCATTGTGATGTCATCAGGTTTTTGATGTCATAGCATTGTGAACCACTTGATGATGTCAGGGCATTGTACAAAATCTACTGTCAAAATGATATCTCCTAGGGGATATTGTTTGATCTCACACAAGCAATATCTCCTGTGGAACACAGTTTTGGATGATAACTCTTTTTATTTCATCAACCAGTAGCAAGATGGCGTCATATAAAGATGTTTCAACAGTTATGTGATTGTTTTTCATCAGCCTGCCAAAATTGCGAATACGAAGAGCCCCGTTTACAGTGTCGATAACCGGCAACACCCAGCCCAAGGTTGGGGAAAGGTAAGCTGAAATATTGGACTAGATCTTTCCGTGCAGGTGTATCTAGAATATATGAAGATAGTTTTTACAGCACCCTTTGTGGTCTCACATACTTTCTTATTTTCTTAATGTGTAACAGGGGTTCAAAAATCCCATCAGTCAGTTTTCATTTCGGGCAATCAAATACTGGTATCTTACTTGTCCGTGGGCTACTAGATAATCTCTGCTTACGGCTTCAAACTGCAAATAAACTTGGATTTAATTTCATACCTGCTCAAAATGTAGCTATTAAATTTTGCAATGATAATTAAGTAGAGTTATCCTTCTTTGCCATTTATCACTTCTCTATAATAGTCCAGTGAACATTCACATCAAATACAATGTTGGTTTATTCTTTCATAATTACATCATCATGATTATGTCATAAAAATCAGGGCAAGTGGAAAAATAGCCTGGACAAGTTACTTTCTTAAAGTCACTTGCCCTGTGGCAAGTGGCTCTTAAAAAGATTTTTGAACCCCTGGTGTAATCAAGTAAAATGAATCTAATTATGTACAGGATAAAAGGACCAATTTATCATGTAATGGATGTTTCATACCCTTATCTACACAGTTCGCATGTACTGATAATAATTTTTACGCTGCACTCAGCAATGTACTTATGATCAATAATCCCTGTGAATTGCTAAATATATCAGTTTAGAAAGGTAGTTAATATATTACAATGCAAGATGTTCATGAATAACCAATACCCAAACACCTTTGCATCTATTAGAAATTGTCATACATCTATTAGAAATTGTCATACATCTATTAGAAATGTCATGCATCAGAGTTGTTTAACAAACTGATTGTTGACGGTTGGTTGGTGACGGTTGGTGAGGAGGGGCGCCCGGCAGCAATGGGAATAGACAGGTGCATCTGATGCACGGGCATTTCATGATAACTGCCTTGTGCTGATGACGAAATCAGGGGTGGAAAAAAACCATTGCCTGACGTCCGAGTCCAGTGTTTCTTTCTGTCGGGCAAGCAAATTTGTATATCACACTGTATCAGTGTCCAGTTGACTTTCCAATGTTAATTATGTTGTTTATTTAAAAAATCAACAAGAAAACGGCCAGTACAGTGGAAAAATTATCAGGGCAAGTGATTTTACATGTGCCACTGTACCGGAGTACACTAGCAAATTTAAAGTTATTTCCACCCCTGGAAACGAAGTTCAGTGTACAGGCAAAAAAGTTGATAATTAAAGTGTATGATTTCTTTTGCGCTGAGGCAGATAGGGAGGCCCGTTTTATGCCATCGATAGGTATGAGAAAAGTGCTTCCAAGTCATTGGGAGTTTCTACACGAGGTATTGAAACATATAATACAGAAGAGAGACAGTGTTGTCGACAAAACGCATGTAGGGGGCATGTCAAAAGCATCAAGGGTTAATAAATGGGACAACTTCCAGAAGAACCCAGACAGACAGGCAATCACTAAACTGTACTCAGAAAAAGTCATTAAAAGTATTACAGAAACACCTTGAAAACCAAAACAATTTGTCAGTAATGAAATACACACTATGGCGATTCTTACATTCTTTCGGGTATAGGTACAAAAAATATCAGGAGAGAACAGGAGGGTATTGTGTGAATGGTCAGACATCGTATGTTTGAGAAATCATTTTCTCAGGACTGTCCAGACAAAACGTGATGCGGGGTATGAGCCGGTGTATCTTGACGAGACAGGTAAATGTGTCTCATACCACCAGCAGTCAATGGGTACCCGATGGGAATAAGGGATCACGGAGGAAACTGCCGCCGGGGAAGGGGGAAAGACTGATTTTTCTCCATGCTGGATGCGCCAGCCAGGGCAGCCTACCTGGCTGTGATCTGGTGTTCAGATCCAAGGCCACAGACAATAGGGACAACCATACAGAGATGCATGGAGACATTTTCTTTGAGTGGGTTCAAAATAATTTAGTTCCAGCTTTTTCAAATAAGTCCCTTATAGTCATGGACAATGCGCCATACCACAGCATGCAGGATCCAAACAGCAAAACTCCGACGTCTAACAATCGTAAGGCGATACGATTGCTTGGCTTAAAAAATTCAACATCCCGTATCCATCAAAAGCCTCAGCTGTACGAAATCAAAACCCACAGACAAGACCCCGTATACAAAGTAGACACTTACATTAAGAGTAAAGGTCATGAAATATTGCGGCTACCACCATATCATTGTGACCTAAATCCAATTGAGATGATATGGTGTATTCTAAAAGGTGATGTTGCTATATCAGATACCATGTTTACATTGCGAGATGTCGAGGCCTTGGTGACCGACTCGCTGGGTAAAATCACTGTTGACATGTGGCAACACTCTGTAACTAAGGTTGTCAATGAAATTGAAGCAGGTTACTGGTCTCGTGATGGCCTACAACAGACAACTCTCGCGCCGCTTGTTATTTCCATCAGCTCTGACTGTAATGCCACTGATGACGAAGTCACAGATCATTCAGAATAGATTTTGAGACGCTCCCCTCAGCACTTGTCTATTCCCGTTGCTGCCGTGCGCCCCTTAGCACCAACTGTCAACAATCATGTTTATAATGATGATAGTTCGTTACACAACTTTTTCTGTGATGCAAGGCAATTTCTAATACATGAAAATGTGTTTGGGTATAGGTTATTCATGAACATCTTGCCTCGTAATATTTATTAACTATCTTTCTAAACTGATATACTTAGCAATTCACTGGGACACTTTCTAGTCAAACAGACTGTAGTTCGTTTCCTGGATCTTCATTACCAAATAATCAGGTTGGTAGGTCTTATGTTTAATGTGACCTGTGTCGGAGTTACATCACCATTGACTGCTTCAGCTTCACCCTGACGTACAACATCGTCAACAGACTCCAAGATTTCCTGAGTATGAAGCTGTACTGGAATGTGGAGACCCAGTTGTCAGCCTACAGGGATGTTGGTGAGTCTTTCTGTCTGTCCACATCCAGGGATTTTGGTGAGTCTGTTTGTGTCCACACTCAGGGATGTTGGTGACTCTGTGTCCACATTCAGGAATGTTGGTGAGTCTCTCTGTGTCCACATTCAGGGATGTTGGTGAGTCTGTGTCCACATTCAGGGATGTTGGTGAGTCTGTGTCCACATTCAGGGATGTTGGTGAGTCTCTCTGTGTCCACATTCAGGGATGTTGGTGAGTCTCTCTCTGTGTCCACATTCAGGGATGTTGGTGAGTCTGTGTCCACATTCAGGGATGTTGGTGAGTCTGTCTCTCTGTCCACATTCATTGATGTCGGTGAGTCTCTCTGTGTACACATTCAGGATGATGGCAGTCTCTGTGTACATTCAGGGATGTTGGCGAAGTCTCTCTCTGTGTCCACATTCAGGGATGTTGGTGAGTCTCTGTCTGTCCACATTCAGGGATGTTGGTGAAGTCTCTCTGTGTCCACATTCAGGGATGTTAGCGAAGTCTCTTCTGTCTGTCCAACCTTTAGGGAGGTTGGCAAGTGTCTCTCTGTGTACACATTCAGGAATGTTGGTGAGTCTCTCTGTGTACACATTCAGGGATGTTGGCAAGTCTCTGTGTGTCCACATTCAGGGATGTTGGTTAGTCTCTCTGTGTCCACATTCAGGAATGTTGGCTGAAGTCTCTCTGTGTCCACATTCAGGAATGTTAGCCAGTCTCTCTGTCTGTCCACATTCAGGGATGTTGGGGAGTCTCTCTGTGTCCACATTCAGGGATGTTGGCTAGTCTCTGAGTCTCTCTGTGTACACATTCAGGGATGTTAGCGAAGCCTCTCTGTACACATTCAGGGATGTTGGCGCAGTCTCTCTCTGTCCACATTCAGGGATGTTAGCTAGCTAGTCTCTGTGTACACATTCAGGGATAGCGAAGTCTCTGTGTACACATTCAGGGATGTTTGTGAGTCTCTCTGTGTACACATTCAGGGATGTTGGTGAGTCTCTGTGTACAGATTCAGGGATGTTGGTGAGAGTCTCTGTGTACACATTCAGGGATGATGGTGAGTCTGTCTGTGTCCACATTTAGGGATGTTGGCGAAGTCTCTCTCTGTCCACATTCATTGATGTTGGCGAGTCTCTCTCTGTCCACATTCACTGATGTCGGTGAATCTCTCCACATTCAGGGATTGTTGTTAGATTGTATTCTAGTATGTCATCTGGCATCTCACCTACTACCAACACAGGCATCTCAATACCGCTGCTGACATACTAGTACAGCTATAGAAGTATGACCTCTATGTTGGTAACTGTTACAATACACAGTGTTGTCCTACTTCTCACCCTCAGTGCTATGACTGTTGTAAGGCTAAGTCGGGGCAGATCTCTTTGTACAGGGGCATCAATATACTCACCACAGTTGTTGCAGGTGTGCCCAGTACTCAACTATGTTTTTCTGTGTTTCTGTTCAGCGGAGGATGTTCTGCCAAGGAAACACTTGGAGGACTTGAAGAATTCCGTAGTGTGTCACGACCCAGATGTTTATGTGGGGTAAGTGGGCCAGACATGTCAGACTTGTGAAGTGTTTATACTATTGTCAAGAAACTTATAATATTATAGCTTGTGTGTATGACTGTATCCTCAAGAGTTATATTTTGATATCTCTTTTCAATAAATGACCTACCCGTGAAGATCCTGGTTAGAACTAATCTTCAGAACACATGCTTGTTGTGGTGGGTGGGGTAGCCTATCGGTTAGTTGCATAGATCGATGCTCATGATGTCGTTTCTATACTCTATTATATACAGGGTGGGGTAGCCTAGGGTTAATGCACCATCACTCCGAAGACCCGGGTTCGATTCCCCACATGGGCACAATGTGTTAAGCCCATTTCTGGTGTCCCCCGCCGTGATATTGCTGGAATATTGCTAAAAGCGGCGTAAAACTAAACTCAGTCAGTCAGTCAGTCTATTAAATACAGACTGCTGACACAGGGCTCCAGATAATTTTTCATGATCAGGAGTACTCCTTATCTTTTCATAGAGGAGTACTGGAAAACAATAAGAGTACATTTAGAGTACCGAATGGAATTTAATGGAGTGTCAGTAGTCTTGTGTTTCGTTTCATATATGCACCACAACATCGCTCTCTTGTGTAAACAGATCAATAAACAAAAAACAATACTTTATCAGATAAACACGTCTGTAAATGATTCTAAGACCGTACACCATTGGTGTGGTTCACATCTGCTAAGTTTTCTAAATTATTTCCTACTGTATTGTGCTTATTTTATATCCGTACATACGCCGCTACGACCCTTATCTGGAGACCTGGGACATATAGATGGAATAGTGCAGCAGCGCAACAAACAAACGAGAATCAACTAATTTCCCAAAGTTCAGCATTTAGTTACTGACAGAAGTTTTTTTTGAGATCAGTAGATATTTGGCTGTATATTTCTCTGTTTTGTGTTAAATGATTTGTTATCCTCTATTGGCCTCTCCAGGGCTTGTCCACGTGGCTGCACTATGCCGGTCAGTGTGTCCTTCCAGTTGCTGAAGACAGGACTTTATGAGGTGAGATGTCTGGCATAGATAACTGGAATACATAACTACAGGTACTGTTGACCTTCCATATGTACCTTCCTACACTGGAAGTTTTAATTAGAGTTACCCCCCTTGATTGATGTATGGACTTGATGGCCTACATCACTAGAGAAGCTTTGTGACTTGACAGTTTGTTGAAGACAGGTTGTACCAATCTATTTGATTAGAGTTACCTCCCCTGGGTGTTGGATGGACTGGATGGACTGGATGGACTCCATCATCAGACAAGTTTTGTGACTTGACAGTTTACTCCATATAATTAGAGTTAGCAGGCTGGCGCTACCTATCTATTTAATTTGAGTTACCTCCCTTGATTGTTGATGGACTTAATAGTCTTCATCATTAGAGAGGATTTGAGACTTGAGGTTACACACCACCAAATGTTTTCCCATAGACTTCTATAGTAACCTTATAATTTTTAAAAAAATAGACAGGCTATCAACAGCCATTCCATGTACACGTGGGTACACTCTGGCCTTTCAACTACCATATAAACACAATATCTGGCCAACTTGTCCGGCTCGTTTTGCGAGCACAGGAAGCTGAACACATCAACCCCAGTTCCGCAACAAATGTCACCTACTGGAAAATATGTGTACACACAATAAGCATAAGTGATGGTGATAAAAATGACAGCACTAAATACTTAAAATTGTGCTCAGTTTTAATTACTGGTTGGATGTGCTTTTAAAAAACAAACATCTTACACTATTTCATCCAATCACAGCTGTCACATGTCTCTGTCTCTCTTGACTTGTTTACATACGGGTCTTGCGCAGGGAGCATGTGATACTGATTTAGTGTAGTGGAACCTGTAGGAAAATTTAGAAACATTTGCCCTAGGCAAATCTGTGATTTATGTACTGTATATACATCTAACTTCTCAGAAAAAATATAAAATTGCATGAAGCTTCAATACTTTTCCTGTCCAACATATCTATATGGCACAAGAATATAGTGATTTGCTGCACTGACAGAGCTGTAAGAGTTATATCATGTCTATTTCACCAAAGCTATACAAAATGCACTTCTGCATTAATAGAGAAAGTTTTCAAATCATACATATACCATGGGAGTTTACTCTTATTTCACAAAAGAAGGGGGGCCATGGGTTAACTCCATACATGACTGGGACTGCCTTGATCATATCAATCCAAAAAATATTTTGAACGACAAAAATCATGTAATTCAGGCCAGAAATTGGACAGGTTTAACATTAAGCAGCTTTAACATCCTGACATATGTAAGGCTGGATGATGAACTTTGCCAGAATGTAATAAGTGAGGCGTTGGATTATGCCTAGCAGTCTGAAACACTGACCACAGTACCCTGCCGCCTGTTAGTTGATCAAGGCAAATGACCCCTTCAACAGATGAAATCACTTTTAGACCACAGCATGATAAGAACTTACTCTTGAATCTATTGATTCATCAAGCTAAGACTTTGAAATACTTCCAGACATTCAAAATTATTGACTGTGTATTGTTTGAGGCTGTTAGACTTGCCAATGTCATGTATAAGCCAGTTTAGAGGGTACAAAGTGAAAATATCCACACAACTTTGGAAATTTATTGGTTACCCTGGCCTAAACTGAATATTTTTCATTACAATTAACAGTGTTTGGCAATATCAGCTAAAACAGAGCTCTCTGCAGTAATTTATGGGTTACTGGGTTAGAGAAAGACTCAATGTATTTAAGCGTAAACAGGGGAGATAATTTTTAGATATCGAACACTCTCATGTCAATAAAATGTGAATTCAGACCCATAATATTACATTCCACAAGGGTCAGTTGTTATTATTTACATCTAAGCAGCATCTGGGATTGATGTACAGCCCCTTATTTCATGTCTGGGAAACTGAAATACTACACACTAAGGCATTAAGAGGACACTGTTAGAAATTTCTAATGGATGAGGATGACCAGTGATGGAATTTTGTAGTGAGACATTGTGGTGCCTTAACTGGACTGGGTCACTTAAATGTACTATATGTACCTACATGTCCAAGTACTGCAACTTCTACAAGGTAAAAGCATATCGAAGCAAAGGGAGTATGCTTGATTAGACACTGCCAACAACAGACATATTAAAGCATATCAAGCAAAGGGAGTATGCTTGATTATACACTGCCAACAACAGACTTCTCATGGGCTTGTGAAATACGCATTGATGTGAAGGCTTGTTTTTCTGTGAAGATACACCTCCCCATTCACCAACAGGCATTCTACAAGCTGAAAATAGTGCTGAGATTACATTAAATGTCAAATCATAAAATCCATAACAGCAATGAGACAGTTGTTAATAAACCAGAAATTCATTTTGTAAGTCCTATGGGTGAAAAAAGGGGTATATTTTAAAAAAGGAAAAGAAAATTAGGGTTTTGCATATTCAAAAGGGGACAGACAGAAAAAATTGATCATATGCTACACTGTTTGGGTTTAAAACAAGGGTTTGTGACATGTTCTGCTGTCAGCAGTGAACATATTTCATGATTTTCTTATCATTTGACTTCAAACTGACCCTCAGGAGATTAACTTAGACACTCACATTGTTGTGGCAGTGGTGATTTTAACCTAATCTGTTATCAAATTCATCAGTTCCAACAAATTTAGAAGCCAGGGAACCACTACTTGATGGTAAGACTCACTGTGAGGGTCTGTTCTCACTGTTCTAACCACAAATCCAAGGCGAAGCAACGCTCATATTCTGGACATTAAAACCACCATTCCACATGCAAAACAGCCCTATCTTTACTCCCAGTACCTTTAACTTTGCCTCTACATTAATGCTAACATGTTTCCATGGTGAAATAAACACAGGAAATCGTAAAGTATGAATTACTGAAAAGTGCTCTAACACCTACAGGTTACACACCACCAAATATTTTCCCATAGACTTCTATAGTAACCTTATAATTTTCTAAAAAATAGACAGGCTATCAAGAGCCATTCCATGTACACATGGGTACACTCTGGCCTTTAAACTACCATAAAAACACAATATCTGGCCATTAACTTGTCTGGCCTCTGCTTTATGAAAGCACAGGAAGCAGAACACATCAACCCCAGTTCAACACCAAATGTCACCTACAGGAAAATATCTGTACACACAAAAGCATAAGTGATGGTGATAAAATGACAGCACTAAATACTTAAAATTGTGGTCAGTTTTAATTACTGGTTGCATGTGCTTTTAAAAGCAAACATCTTCCACTATTTCATCCAATCACAGCTGTCACGTCTCTGTCTCTCTTGACTTGTTTACATAATGGTCTTGCGCTAAGGAGCATGTGATACTGATTTAGTGTAGTGGAACCTTGACAGGTTGTACCCATCTATTTAATTAAAATTACCTCCCTTGGTTGTTTGATGGACTGGATGGACACCATCATCAGACAAGATTTTGAGACTTGACAGGTTGTACCCATCTATAATTAGAGTTACCTCCCTTGGTTGTTGGATGGACATAATAGACTTCATCATTGGAGAGGTTTTGAGACTCTTTGACAGGTTGTACCCATCTATAATAAGAGTTACCTCCCTTGGTTGTTGATGGACTTAATAGACTTCATCATTGGAGAGGTTTTGAGACTTGACAGGTTGTACCTATCTATAATTAGAGTTACCTCCCTTGGTTGTTGGATGGACTGGATGGACTCCATCATCAGACAAGTTTTGAGCCTTGACAGGTTGTACCCCATCTATAATTAGAGTTACCTCCTTGGTTGTTGGATGGACTGGATGACTCCATCATCAGAAAGTTTTGAGGACTTTGACAGGTTGTACCTATCTAGGGTGTCATGATACGAAATGGTATCGATGCATCGATACATTTTACTGACGATACGATAATACGATACATGCTTGTTGTATCGATTCCTATTTTGACTTTATCGATTCAAATTTTTATGCTATATCCATCTCCCCTTCAAAGTCTTGATAGTAAAATTATAATGCAGACCGCCTCGATAAAATAGATGTAGCTAGCTTTACATTTCTAAAAAAGAGGTTGAAACTAACAGCTTTGTGATTGGCTAGAATATGTTGATGGACCAATCAACGCCAGCGCATTTGCTGTCCGTAAGGTAATGCCATGAAAGGCTAAAATTATGTATCGCGATAATGACGATCGTGATCGCGACCTTTTAAAATCGCGGATAACGATCGTATCATGAGATTGGTGTATCGTGACACCCTATACCCATCTATAATTAGAGTTACCTACCTTGGTTGTTTATAGACTTAATAGACTCCATCAGCAGACAAGTCTTTGAGACTTGACAGAATGTACCTATCTATAATAAGAGTTACCTCCCTTGGTTGTTGGATGGACTGGATGGACTCCATCAGCAGACAAGTTTTGAGCCCTTGACAGGTTGTACCCATCTATAATTAGAGTTACCCTCCTTGGTTGTTGGATGGACTGGATGGACTCCATCAGCAGACAAGTTTTGAGACTTGACAGGTTGTACCTTATTCAGGGTGTCAGCGTCTGACGAATGTATCGATGCATCGATACATTTTACTGACGATAACGATACCGCATATACGCATGCTTGCGCATGCATCGATTCTCTATTTTAAAACTTTTATCGATTCAAATTTTATGCTATATCCATCTCCTTCAAAGTCTTGATAGTAAAATTATACTCGAGACCGCTTCGATAAATAGATGTAGCTAGCTTTACTTAAAAAGAGGTTGGAAACTAACAGCTTTTGTGATTGGCTAGAATATGTTGATGGACCAATCAACGTATGACGACGCGTTACCGTAAGGTAATGCCATGAAAAGCGCTGAAATGTGTGTACGCGATACGTATTATCGTGATCGGACCTTTAAAATCGATATGTATCATTATCATGAGATTGGTGTATCGTGACACCCCTATACCTATCTATAATTAGAGTTACCTACCTTGGTTGTTTATAGACTTAATAGACTCCATCAGCAGACAAGTTTTGAGACTTGACAGAATGTACCTATCTATAATAAGAGTTACCTCCCTTGGTTGTTGGATGGACTGGATGGACTCCATCAGCAGACAAGTTTTGAGACTCTTTACAGGTTGTACCCATCTATAATTAGAGCTACCTCCCTTGGTTGTTGGATGGACTGGATGGACTCCATCAGCAGACAAGTTTTGAGACTTGACAGGTTGTACCCATCTATAATAAGAGTTACCTCCCCTAGTTTGTTGGATGGATTGGCTGGACTCCATCATCAGACAAGTTTTGAGCCTTGACAAGTTGTACCTATCTATAATTAGAGTTACCTCCCCTTGGTTGTTGGATGGACTGGATGGACTCCATCATCAGACAAGTTTTGAGACTTGGTAGGTTGTACCCATCTATAATTAGAGTTACCTCCCTTGGTTGTTGGATGGACTGGATGGACTCCATCAGCAGACAAGTTTTGAGACGACAGGTTGTACCCTATCTATAATAATAAGAGTTACCTCCCTTTGGTTGTTGGATGGATTGGCTGGACTCCATCATCAGACAAGTTTTGAGCCTATGACAAGTTGTACCTATCTATAATTAGAGTTACCTCCCCTTGGTTGTTGGATGGACTGGATGGACTCCATCATCAGACAAGTTTTGAGACTTGACAGGTTGTACCCATCTATAATTAGAGTTACCTCCCCTTGGTTGCTTGGATGGACTGGATGGACTCCATCATCAGACAAGTTTTGAGACGGACAGGTTGAAAACCCATCTATAATTAGAGTTACCTCCCTTGGTTGTTGGATGGACTGGATGGACTCCATCAGCAGACAAGTTTTGTGACTTGACAGGTTGTACCCATCTATAATTAGAGTTACCTCCCCTTGGTTGTTGGATGGACTGATGGACTCCATCAGCAGACAAGTTTTGAGACTTGACAGGTTGTACCCATCTATAATTAGAGTTACCTCCCTTGGTTGTTGGATGGACTGGATGGACTCCATCATCAGACAAGTTTTGAGACGCGACAGGTTGTACCCATCTATAATTAGAGTTACCTCCCTTGGTTGTTGGATGGACCTGGATGGACTCCATCATCAGACAAGTTTTGTGACTGACTTGACAGGTTGTACCCATCTATAATTAGAGTTACCTCCCCTTGACTCCATTGTTGGATGGACTGGATGGACCTCCATCATCAGACAAGTTTTGAGACCAGACAAGTTACTTCTTGGTTTTGTGTTGACAGGTTGATAACCTCCCCTTGGTTGTTTGACAGAGAGCAAGTTTTGTGGAAAGTCCCTTAACAGGAGCTACCTCCCTATTGTTGGATGGACTGGATGGACTCCATCAGCAGACAAGTTTTGAGACTTGACAGGTTGTACCCATCTATAATTAGAGTTACCTCCCTTGGTTGTTGGATGGACTGGATGGACTCCATCATCAGACAAGTTTTGAGACGATGACAGGTTGTACCCCATCTATAATTAGAGTTACCTCCCTTGGTTGTTGGATGGACTGGATGGACTCCATCATCAGACAAGTTTTGAGACTTGACAGGTTGTACCCTATCTATAATTAGAGTTACCTCCCTTGGTTGTTGGATGGACTGGATGGATCATCAGACAAGTTTTGAGGACACAGGTTGTCATCTATAATTAGAGTTACCTCCCTTGGTTGTTGACTTTGAGACAAGTTTTGTGACTTGACAGGTTGTACCCATCTATAATTAGAGTTACCTCCTTTGGTTGTTGGATGGACTGGATGGACTCCATCATCAGACAAGTTTTGACTTGACTTGACAGGTTGTAACTCCATCTATAATTAGAGTTACCTCCCTTGGTTGTTGGATGGACAGGATGGACTCCCATCATCAGACAAGTTTTTGAGACTTGACAGGTTGTACCCATCTATAATTAGAGTTACCTCCCTTGGTTGTTGGATGGACTGGATGGACTCCATCATCAGACAAGTTTTGAGACTATTGACAGGTTGTACCCATCTATAATTAGAGTTACCTCCTTTGGTTGTTGGATGGACAGGATGGACTCCATCATCAGACAAGTTTTGAGGACTTGACAGGTTGTACCCATCTATAATTAGAGTTACCTCCCCTTGGTTGTTGGATGGACTGGATGGACTCCATCATCAGACAAGTTTTGAGACAGGCCATTTGACAGTCTTGATGGTTGTAAGAGCAAGATGTAAAATGATTCAGGCCATCTGCAATACTTCTGTCTTCAGGCCATTTACTTGGTCAGTGGAGGAAAGGATACCTGTCAGAAAAACACTGACATAAATGGTTAACACAGCTTGTGGATATTTGTAAATCTTGTTTACACGAAATAAAGTTTAAAAAAAGCACTAAAATGTTTCAGTTTGAGAGATGATGAAAGTGAACCTTCAAGGCACGCACTCACCAGACTCCCAGAGCACTCTCAAACAGGACTCAGTGGGCACTCCTGTCTCCATTGACACTCCTTCTACTCTCTCTGCTGAGGACCAGCTGGCTGCATCAGAGGAGCTGTGGCGGGACCGAGCGGAAGACGCCCTCACTCCACACTCCTACAACACACCACGCTGGAGGAGAGATCTAAAGACTTTCGGGCCACCAAGTCCTACTCCTTTGAGATCTCGGACCCACTCTGTCCACAGACTCGATGAGGCTCAGAGAATCAAGTAGGTGGTTTGTGTTGTGGAAGGCGTGGAAGGCATGTGTGGAATGATAAGGCTTCAAAAAAAAAAATTGGCTATTTTCTTATTCTCGAGAAAACAGTATACAATATATGTATAGATGTCCATACAATATGTATAGCAGGCTGTGATAGCCTCTAGTGTGAAGCATTTGTTGGTTAGAGGATGATGACTTGTTCCTTGGATTGTTGAAACGGTAAAAGGATGATTGAGGAGAAGTGTCCAAAGCTCTACCATTTGTCAAAGCTCGGGTAGGATGATGGTCATGTTTCCCACAGGATATGTCTATTTTCTGTTTTATGGGTATTTTTTGTAAAAAGATTCTAAGTTGTAACATGAACAGAACTGGTCATATGCTCAAGCTGCTAAGGTGACCAAGTGGATGTTTAGGTGATAACTTTCACCCAGATTCTCTGTAAAAATCCTTTCAACCAGTAAACTCAGAGTAAACCATAGATAGTTGTCAGAACATTTATAACTTCTAGTATTGATATATTATAAATTGTTAGGAGTAATAATTTTAATTAAACTCTTTGATTATGAAGAACCATCTTCAAATTAAAATTTTGCAGGAGAGGAATCTAACCAGGGTAGTGGGTAGGCTAGTGGTTAAAGGGGAAGTGTACATTTATAAAATCACATTTATTCTGCTGGTCTCCTGTCAAGTCCCAAATCAAAAAGATAATAATACTGAAATTAATCACATGAAAAAAAAAATATGAAAATACTAAGAAACATAAGAACAGAAAATAATCACCAATTGTTTACTTCCCAGGTTCAAAAGCTGACCATATATTTTGGAAAACATTAAGACATAAGAAATAGATACAAGAGCAATTTGAGTTTTCTTTTGATACATTTGATGTCACTATAATTTGTTTAATAAGGATTTTGTCTTTAACAGATTCAAGACAATCAAGCTGTCTTCAGCGGTCCCGCCCCTCGCCCCTCCTCCGCCTGTTGACACAGATTGAAAGAGAGCGCCACAAATCCTGCAAATTTTCTCAAGAAAAATTTTGAGATCTATGTGCCATGACTTCATGTAGCATCCTTGAGATTTGCTCTGATGCTTCATGTAGCATCAAATTGCTTTACATTTATCATCTCATTATCACTTCTTTATCATCATCATCATCATCATCATCATCATCATAGGGATTTGCTTTGTAACTTAATGTTGCATCAAAATACACTAACTTTACGCTCCAACACTTCTTTCCCATCACCACCATCATCATCATCATCATCATCATCATCATCATCATCATCATCTTTCTCTTGAGATTTGCTCTGTAACTTCATGTAGCATCAAGTTACTTGGGTGTTACATCCCGACACTTCTTTTCCTTACACATGATAAATGGCAAGCCAGCATAATACAGGATAAGATGGAATTCTGAGTACATAGTGGACTGATATAGCTGGTTTTCAACCCCAAAGTCCTGATTTAGAATCTGTCCATTTTCCATAAGAAAACTGCAATTAATTCTTGGACATTTGGCCTTTTGTAAAAATACAACCTGAAAGTTGGAACCCAAAAGGATTTAAATTTTCATCTTTTCAAAATTAGCAATTTGGGTGTTATTGTGAAGTAGCTTGGTCTGTTTTGAAACGGAGATTACTAGAAGTGTTTTCATGTACTTGTCAGTATTGTTTAAAGGCTTTGTCTTGAGACAAATGTGCAATCTATTCTCTCCATATTTCTAGTATAGTGTACGATAAACAATCTTACCATTGTTTATGTGATATTTATTTGAAGATATTGTGATTGGCTGGTTGTGAATGTTGTCAGTGTTTTACTGAATTATTTATTACAAAAGAAGGTGTTTAGAAAGTATTTGTTAATATCTGTTCGTCCTCTGTTGTATTTATGGTGATTGTGTAATAGTATTATGTCACTTACACATCAGAATGTGTTGCACACCTGGAGTATTTTCAATGTCTTTTAAAAGGGTTGGCTATGGATATAGATCTTAGAGATTGATAATCATGAGCTAAATATTGATTGATTTATCGATAAATATCGGCAACATAACTTTCAGCATAATTTTTCAAGAAATGATTAAATATATTTCACTTTACTGGTGACTGGTGACATGTTTTTCCTGGTCATGTTCCTCAAAGTTTATCGATCGCTAAGATGATCGTAACTCGGAGATACTTTAACATAGACTTCGACTTTACTGTCGTGAGTAATTTCACGATCGCTTTGAGGAACAAGGCCTTGGCCCACTAGATTGGTCAGATTTGGGAAAGAAGGAAATCTTGGGCTTTTTCTGGATTATCAGATTTGGTCACAGTTTGAGAATTAAACACAGTTCTTTTGAACATTTTGTGTTTCACACTTTTAATATCAAACATATCAGTGAGGTGAAAGTTTGTAAAATGTTATACTGATTTTACAGGTTTTTAGTTATTTTAAGATTTGCCAGCAAGTTTTGAACTGAAGTGGATTTCATCACTATACAGCTGAAATGTAACACATGTTTAGCCAATATCACTTTCAAACATGAGCTCACTCAAACAGCAGCTGAATTTCAAATAGAGATAATGGACATAGGTGTTGTAAATTGTAGACAAGAGCCATTGAGTTTTTAGTGAGATGTTTGAAAAATCAGTTTGTTACTTGTTTGCATCTGGAACAAAGTTTTGCTAACTGGGGCCAATTTGGGGCCTTGGCATAGATTGTCACATGTATTATTTGTTATGTTCTAGTCTGTAAATGACAATGTTTATGGTTGTGATATTCTTGTGATCTAACTCTTGTTTTGAATCTCTTTTCCAGCTTGTGCAATATACATTGTTTAAAAGAAAACATTATTTACACATAATCATTCCTATTTCAACCCTGCTGTAATGCTTATACCTTTTGTGTGAAGCATATTTTTGTGACATCGCTATGTACCCATAGTATGTTTAATGTCATCGAAATCTTATATTTTACTCTGATATGATACCATCCGTGAATGTCCGGGTTAGAATATTGGTCTTCAGTAACCAATGCTTGTCGAAGAGGCTTAATTAACGGTTTTGGTGGTCAGGCTCGCTGACTTGGTTGACACATGTCATTGTATCCCAATTGGCATATCGATGCTTATGCTGTTGATCACTGGATTGTCTGGTCCAGACTCGATTACAGTGAAGCCTCGTTAATCCGGACGGTTATGCTTCTCAGTAAATTCGTCCGATTGCTAATAGTTCGACTACTGAATCAAGACCCAAGCAAAATCACTTTAAGTCCATGTGACCGCGATCTGTCTGTCAAAGAACATTAACCAATCACAAAACAGCTCACTTGTCATCCACGCCTTTGTATTGTGGTGTCAATCAAAGTGTAAATGTACAGCATCCTCAGTCAGGAGCTTTTAATGTCTAATTAAAACAACAACCCAGTTGGCCAGTTAATTAAGTAAACATCGCGGGAGGTGTTATTACGGTTCGTGAACAGCAATTTACTTTACAGCGTACTGACTGTGACAGCTACTTTATCCGTTCGGGTTCGAAACCGAATTTCTGGATTATCGAGGCAAATTATATAGGCATAGATTGGTAATAAGCTGAAATTGTCCGAGGCTGGAGACATCCAGATTATCAGAGTCCGACTAACGGGCTTCACTGTATTTACAGACCGCCGCCACATAGCTGGAAAATTGCTGAATGTGGCTTAAAACTAAACTCACTCACTCTCTCAACAACCTAAGGCCAAGACCTTTATAATGGGCATTAGGGACTCTCCATTTAAGTTCATTTTTGAGATGAAGAGGAACACTTATTGTGGATAGACAACTTCTTTTTTGCAATAGATACAATGTTTTGGTGTAGATGCCAACTTTATCAAGCAAATGATACGTAGCATTGTGCACAAGGAGAATATATACATGAAGGGTATTTCAGTTTATACAATTGAAGAAGTCAATGTATATAATTGACATTACTGATGCTTGTTGTGATTACAGATAATGACTGAAGTCAGTGAGTGAGTGAGTTCAGTTTTACGCCGCACACAGCAATATTCCAGCTATATGACAGCGTTCTGTAAATAATCAAGTCTGGACCAGACAATCTAGTGATCAAATGCATGAGCATCAATCTACGCAATTGGGATACAATGTGATTGAAGTCAGATCAACAAAGAATTGGGAAGAGTAGATGATTGTGAGCTGGAGGGATGTAATAACCTTGATCTCTGTTGATTGTCAGGTTGTCATTTGATGTTGGTTGCCTTTAAGAGTTTTCTTATCCATGTAGTCTTGCTGGTAGGCTTCAAGGATGCTGATGTTCTACAGGATGGTATGATGCGAATGGGCTTAGGTGTGGTCGGAAGTGGCTGATTTGGAGTCACAGATTGTTCTTCACAGATGTTCCTTGATACGCATGTTAAGGGACAATCTGGAAGGTTGTCGTGCCACAGGGTGTTGTTAACCAGGAAGCAGGGAATGTCCGTCATGGGCACAGCTTTGCCCTTGTCACTTGGTGATGATGTCATCATTTCTCAGTTCAGTGATAGTGTGTTGGTCGGGGATTGGTGGAGATTTCTTGATGATTTCTGTACTCTTGTGCAAGAGGTAGTCGATGTTGCAGTTGTGTGTAAGTTGTTGTTGGTGGTTCTCCATGCCCGTGTAGAAGAAGCAAGAATTAACTCCCAAACTCATGTTTTTCCAAGTGAAGCCATTGATATCTCTTGCGGTTGTCAGAAATTCAAATAGAGGCATCGTGATTGGTGTAAAGGGTAGAATTTCATGGTGTAATTGGTAGGATTTTATGGTGCAAAGGGTATGGGGTGGATTTCATGGTGCAAAGGGTAGGATTTCAAATGAGATTGATTATGTTGAGATATATTAGGAATTTTCATATCTAAAACATTGTGTTTCACAAATATAGATGTTGATATCCAAAACATCATGTTTCACAAATATAGAAGTTAATATCCAAAACACTGTGTTTCACAAATACAGTTGATATCCAAAACATTGTTTCACAAATATCATTGATATCCAAATCATTATTTCACAAATATAACAGTTGATGTAATATCCAAAACATCGTACTTCACAAATATAGAAGTTGATACAAATCATTATTTCACAAATATAACAGTTGATATCCAAAACATCGTTTCACAAATATAGAAGTTGATATCCAAATCATTGTTTCACAAATATAACAGTTGATATCCAAAACATCGCTAATTTCACAAATATAGAAGTTTACAAATATCACAAATATAAAGTTGATATCCAAAACATCGTGTTTACAAACATAGAAGTTGATATCCAAAACATTGTGCTTCACAAATATAGAAGTTGATATCCAAAACATCGTGTTTACAAGTATAGAAGTTGATATCCAAAACATCGTGTTTACAAATATAGAAGTTGATATCCGAAACATTGTGTTTCACGAATATAGAAGTTGATATCCGAAACATTGTGTTTTACAAATATAGAAGTTGATATCCAAAACATTGTGTTTCACAAATACTGAAGTTGATATCCAAAACATTGTGTTTCACAAATATGGAAGTTGATATCCAAAACATTGTGTTTGTGTTTCACAAATATGGAAGTTGATATCCAAGGCATTGTGTTTACATATATAGAAGTTGACATCCAAAACATCTTTGATTCAGGTTGTCAGAAGTTCACATGGAAGCAATGTACTGGAGTAAGGGGTAGGATTTATTGAGATTGATTATGCTGAGAAATAATTTGAGTCCAACAATTTACTCAGTCTAGGTAAACATAGGCTCAGTATTATTTGTCAGTATAGCAGTGTAATGAATAATACTGAGCCTAAGTTTCCTTCGACTGACAATTTAATCTTTTATGGAATACTCAAGTATTGATATTTGCCATATATCTGTACACACTTGTGGTGAAGAATCACAATACTGATGAAACAACCTGAAACTGAATCTCACCTTTGTTTCAACATTCTCCATCTTTTGTCTTTCTGCTCGTGCTTACATTCTGATTTATATTTTGCACTCTTGGGCCTGGAAGGCTTGGATGAAGATGCCACAGGTTTGAAGTTGTCTCCCTTGGGCGTGCAATTATCTGCTTATTGAGGGTTGGAATCCCAGGACTGATCCAGTTTTAACTCTTGATCTGTTGGCGCCATACCCCTGCTTGTGGGTTTCACCTGTCTTTTACTTGTTTCACTTAGGAGATAAACATCATGTGTTGGCCCATTTCTAGGTATTATTGAGTATTTAAAGTACGTGAATACATTTTGAATCATTCAGCACAAAGGTGTTTGATTTTGGTTATGGCTAAAGTTTGTTGAGAACAGTAGTAGGGTACATCAAGGTTCACAAATTACCTACATATATATATATATATATATATATATATATATATATATATCACCAATCTCAGGTTCGAAGCGCAAAGAACAAATGCACATTTAATGCTTTGCTCATTAATATATTTTGTACCTGTTCAAGTATTTATTATCAAGGATTCAGTTATGCCAATATTTATTTTTGCTTATTGTGCATATTTTTGTACATTTTATTGATCCATTTTTGCCTGTATATCTTGGAGCTTTGGTGCAATAGTATTTTTGAAAGGTAGACCTGGTTCCACAGTCCACCGTAGAGGTGGGGTAGCCAGCGGTTAAACTGTTCGCTTGTTACCTGGGGTAGAGCGAACTTTATGTTTTAATACTTTTTATGTATTTATTGTGGTCTGAGTTGCTTCCAGCAAACACACTTTTTGAGCACTTGTAAGCTAATATTGAACTATAATGTTGAGATCGTTTGGTAAGTGTATTTGTGATACATCTCAGTGTATTTGTATTGCCGAGGTGTTAAATTCAAACTTCAGTGTATTTTACAACTTGGTTACAACTTGTTACATTGTGAGTGTTATTGTGACGACATTCCCAGGCGTGGGTTTCAGCATATCTGCAACTGTATTTCTTTTTCGAGTATGTTTTATTTATTTCAAAAGATGTATTGTTGACGTTTATGTTACCATGGGAACAAGACTTTTAATAAAATGTATTTATGTGACAATTATCGGCGTCAGTGTATTGTTTATTTTGTGCTAATAACTATCCTAAGCATCAAGCATACCACCATAATTGTCTCAGGATACCGTGAAGTTCTGAGTTAGAATTGATCTTTAGTAACCCATGCTTGTTGTAAAAGGCGACTAACGGGATCGGATGGTCATGTTCACTGACTTGGTTGACACATGTCATCGTATCCAAATTGTGTAGATCTATGCGCTTGCTGTTGATCACTGGATTGTCAGGTCCAGACTTGATTATTTACAGCCAGCCGCCATATAGCTGGAATATTGCTTAGTGTGGCATTAAACAACAAACCAGCCAACCATCAAGGTTGTATGGTATACATGCATACTATTCTCTTTACCCCACACCCTACAGAGGTCATGGGCAAAATTCCTGAAAGAGAAAGCTGACTTGGAGAATATTATCATAATGGCAAGGGTTTATTACAAAAGGTAACGCTCTATCAACTGTTTATGTTAAATAAAGGCTTCATATTGCATCTTCTATCGAAAACAACTGTTCCATGTCAGACGGAGGAAATATCCCTTCTGCAGTCACATAGATGATTGTATCAATTCTCCGTCAGACGGACCGGCCTTGGGTAAGATCAGAACATCTTGTATCCCTTCTGAAGTACCAGCTCCTTCAATAAACTCAACCACAACTCCAGATCCAAATCAGCCCTCATTAGAGCAAGCAGGAACATCATCTTCAACACAAACAGAACAAAACATCAAACCGTCAAAACCTTTTTTATTTAGACATTTTATTCATCCACTCCTGTTACAAAACACTGACCTTCATGCCAGGGAAATGAAGGCCATTGACGTAGAGGAATCTTTTAGCATAATATTTGATGTAGTCAGTACGTTACAGTTTACTTAGGTGGGATTTTAGTACAAGTGACACTGTAGCAGAAACATAAACGTTCAATCCGACCGATTACCAACGTCACTGAGAGATCATGTGCAACACATAGATATTATTTGCGTGAGACTATAAATGAGTGATT